TTCCATAGACAAAGATCTGAAGTATAGTTTAATCAAAGCGAGAAATTACAAAATATCTATTAATTATATTTCACAAAGAAAATAAATTAAAAAAACTGATGTACAAGGGACAATAAATGCATTTGATCTCGAATCAGCAATTTTTTGATTTTTAAAACATTAATAGTGAATATTTAATTTTTTTTACTAATAAAATTATTTTCGTAAGTTTCTTGAATTATGAAAATTGTTTATAAATTTGTACGATCACTATTAACACCCTAAATAATAAAACCATAAAATAAGATAAGGCGTCAATAATTGGACCCCCATCAAGAATATGTACTTTTATCTTTTATTGATAATAATTAATTAATTGATTTCAATAGTTTATTGGAGTACAGTACTACCACTATAGCGTATTATTGTCCCAACTAAATTCAATATTGTTCTGAGCAAAATACCGATATTCTAATAATGGCAATTACTTTTTATTTTGATAGGAACAGTACTTTTTTTTCAGAGTAACCAATTTACCTTAAAAAAAATTTTTCATAGCTATAATATACTTAAGAAAAAAAATTTCTTTTAAAAAAAATGAGCAGTGTTGTAATAATAAATTAATTTGTTGAAAGTTCTAAACAGTTTTATTTCTTAGCTGAAAAAATCAAAATTTTTCGCATAGCAAATTTTCTTTTTGAAAATAATTTTCTAGATTTAGAAAAAAACAATTTTAGATAGGCAACATGGGAATTTTCATCCAAAATTGTTTTTTCCAAATATAGAAAACTTTTTTTCAACAAGAATGTTACTGTGAGAAAAATTTGTATTTCTTGAGCTAAGAATTAAAATTGTTTAAATTTTTCAACAAATTAATTTCTTGTCACAAAAATGCCCATGTTTTTCAAAAGAATTTTTCTCTCTCAAAATACTCGTTAATTTTGAGTTACATTTAAAATGAATGAAAAAAAAAAAAGTTCTTCATTTACATTGTAAATTGATAAATAGACAAAATACTATCAAAAGTATTATTACAAGCTTAAAAAGTTCCTATTTTGCTAGATTGTTACAATCCTTGAGAGATATAGGAAACAAGGTTAATGATTTTGAGTTTTAAAACTTTTTAGAAATGTTCGGCAGTACTCTATCTCCTTTTTTTACGTTTCTGTATATCTATTGAAAAACAGTAAATTGGTCAGCCTCAGAATCACAACAATGATGTTAATACAATTAATAATCAATAGTTATTGACAGAGATAATTAACAATATAGATTGATTGACGTCATTTATCAAATATGTTTATTTTTGTTTTCGATATAAGGAAGGGTTAAGTGACCATTTAACTCAGTTTGAGTTTGACAGTCAGCGTGAAAAGTAGTTAATTAAAAAAGAGTGTTTCTTCAGGATACAGAATTTAATTTTTAATATTTTGTATAAAAAAAAAAATTCAAACCATTATGGACGGTAAATCGAATGTTGAAAAACCAGTCCTTCAATTAGAAAAAGGTAGAATTTTATGCAAATTTTGTCTCAGTTAAATATTTTATTATCAGCAAAATTGTGAATTTTTGGATCAAATTTTGACACAATAACCATTGATTTTAAATTAGTGATCTCGACAGGTGACTCAGAATCAGAAATCATAAGTACATTACAGCAACAACAGCAGCCTTGTTGCAATGAGGAGGAATTTGTACAATTTCAGCACTATTTATTGCAATTGATGAGAACAGAGCAAAGACTGCACGATATGAATGAAGCGAATTTTCAGTCTTGGTGTCTGATTGGTTCGCATTACTTAACAACGTGTAGTAACGTAGTGAAAGTTTTAAATACTGATTTTGGGTATTATTTGATCCGCCTTCAAGGTATATATAACTGAAAGGAAATAATATCTATCTATAATGACTTATGATTCATCGATAATAAATTCTAGTTATTGGTGGACATGAAAATACTGAAGGATTACGAATAAGATGCCGTATGCTTGATTCATATGAACTGATGATGGTAATTAGTCAATCCTTACAACGTATTCATTTAACTTTTACAAAATTTCTAAAAGAACAGAATAAATTTTGCTGGAAATTTCGACTCATTTGGTCATATATTCAGGTCTATATATTGCATTTGATTAATTATTTCAAGTTATCGAAGCTATAAGAGCGCATTTTTCGAAAATGACGTAATATTTTTCTAAAAGTACAAGATTATTACCTCAATAAATACTCTATTAGATACATATTTTTATTTTCCATTTATTTTTATCGTTCAATTTTGACACTAGTTTGAATGCTTAAGTGCGCCGCATACTTGCCCCACATGACTCTGTTACTGTTTTAGATCATAATTACGCCAATTCCGAATGTGAAATTTTCTTTATACGATCTTATTGCATTGGTAATGCGATTTTATTTCAACAATAATTAACAATTGATGATATTTACTAATAATTTGTTTGTTTTTTTTTTCTTGTTTAATAAACCAGGATTTGGAAAAAAAAATGAAATCCACTGATCAGTGCATCAAAAGTGTTGAAATTACAATGAAAACAGCAACGGACAAATATGCCTAGATTTACATTTTAAATTTCTTAACAATATTTGAAATTTCATCGAGAGAGATTATTTTCAGATGCGGATTTCTCAATGTTTTTATTGATTAATTATATTACTTTAAACTATTTTAATAAAGTTATTTATAGTTAAAAGGCCCTAATAAAATTATAGGAAAAATCAGTCTCAAGTTAATTTCAAAATTATGATAATAATTATAGTACGCTTGTCATATTTAATAAAAATAATCATCATAAATATAAATTTAATTAATTAAGGGATTATTCTGGTTCCGGCGTTTAAAAAAAAGAAAATATCCATTATTTTTTTACACAGAAACTATTATAGATATAGATGTAAACTTTATTCAGCTTATTAGTTACCTATAAGTTACTCTGCAAGTTGACGTCAAAACTTGCTGTACAAGTATTTCAATCAAATTGTAGTAAAGTTGAAAGGAAATTTAACTACAAGTTTGATTGTTAATTTGTATTCAAGTTGCGGCCGTAGACTTTCGTTAATTTGCTTACAACTGTTGTTTAATGAAAAGTTACCGCCAACTTGATGTTAAGTTAATCGTATAACTGCTGGAAATCAACTACTTTCTGAGAAAGCGCTGGCTATCAGGGTTAGTCGATTGTCAACACTGCAATTTGACGCCAAGACTTGCAGTACAAGTATTTTATTCAAGTTGTAGTAAAATTGTAGTACAAAATTTAACCAAAAGTTCGATGTTATCTTGTATTCAAATTGAGGCTGTAGATTTTAGTCAATTTGCTTACAACTGCACAGTTAGCACGGGTTGATCATCAACTAAGTTGATGTTCAATGGTTTATGTCAACTTTACGTTAACTTCGCGTCAACTTCTGCATTTGCAACAGTTTCCCAGAACTTGACTTAAACTTACGCATCAAATTAGCGTAAATCTATTGCCGGAATTTTCCGAAAAGTTCACTCAAAGTTAACGCGAAGTTGCAGAAAGTTAACGTCAACTTCTTCAACTTCACGTCAACAATTATAAAGTATAACTGTTGCTCTACTGTTAGCGTAAACTTAACGTCAAATTCCGACCGCAGGTTTACGTGAACTTCATTTATTCACTTGTGCTAACTAGGTGTTATACTGTAAAAATTTACGGCAAACTTGATGATGTCAAGTAAAATGCAACTGCTGAAATCCAACTACCCTGATAGCCACCTCATACTATAAGTTCTTGTAGTTAAGTTCTTTTAGGTAAGTTAGCGACAAGTTATCATTAAGTTAACGTCAAGTCCACAAATGAACGGTCCTTATATGCAAGTTGACAATAAGGTGGTGCCGAATTTTAAAAACAAGTTATCTATAAGCTTATAGTAAACTTGAATAGAAAATTTCGGTAATTTAACGACAAGTGTTTCACTACAATTCGTTGAAGTAAACTTACTTGACCATAACTTGGCGATAAGTTGTAGATTAATACTTCTTGCCAACCTACTTTTCTTCAAGTTATCTATAATTCGCCGCACTAAGTTATCTGAAAGTTATAATATGAGATGGCTATCAGGGTACTTTTAATCAAAGCGTGGCTATCAGGGACGATGTTTCAAATTAACCGACATTACCGATTGTGGTTAAGAGAGAAAATTTACAATCCCTATATATAGAACAGACACAATATAACACAACAATACCCTGATAGCCACCTTACCTATAACTTACTGTCAATCTACGTCCGCAATTTGAAGCAAACTTGACGGAAAGAGTTGGCAAAGCGAGCGATTACCTATTAGTTACCTATAACTTACTCTCCAAATAGACGTCAAAACTTGCTGTACAAGTATTTCCGTCAAATTGTAGTAAAGTTGAAAGGAAATTTAACTACAAGTTTGATTGCTAACTTGTATTCAAGTTGCGGCCATAGATTTCCGTCAATTTGCTTACAACTGTTGTTGAGTGAAGAATTACCGCCAACTTGATGTATAAATTAACCGTAACTGCTGGAAGTCAACGCTTACTGAGAAAGCGCTGGCTATCAGGGTATATGGAACTCTCATCTGTGCGTTAATTATCAGTTACTTATATATATTACTAGAATTTTTAACGGCGCGCATTCGCGCGCCCCCTATCGAAATTCTCGAATGAATTTATCCTGTTCGATTTATATCGATATATTGATATGTTCACGTACCAGGAGATTGACCAATAGTAACTGAGGAGAGTTTATATTCTACCAATAAGGAATCAGGTCTCATTTTTTCGACTATTGACTAACTTCAAACTGTCATGTATTTTCATTGTAGGGATTATACATATGTATGTATAATTCCATGACAACAAAAGGTAAACATGTGTTTCTTGTAAATGTACTTGTTTATAATAAATATTTTTGTGACTTAGTAGTTTAAAAATTGTGTTGACGTTTAAAAATTGCACATAAGTAATTTATTTAAATTTAATACCTTAAACATATTGATGAATTATTAAGATGGTGTACCGAATAAAAAAATCATGGGATAAAGATTTTCCATATTTTGAAAGGCCAAAAGCAATCGGTTACTACAGTATTGATAGCTCAAGATCAATATGTTTTGATTCATCTCAATTGACGTATTATAACCCTCCTAAAAATTGTGAAGTAAATTTAAATTTGAATCAAGGAATTGAATCTGTACGTCGTAAAATTAAACCAACAAAGCATGAAAAAATCGACACATTTTTGCAATGGATAGTTAATAATACTGACAAAATTCGTGCTAATCCTAAAAGTGAACGAAGGTAGATTACAAACATATTTTTATTTTACAGTTATTTTAAAATGAAAACAATTTAATTTTGATATTGATGTAATTTTTCATTTTAGTTTACAACCAAACATTGTTTGTTTTCGTGGTTTGTTATCGCGGCTGATGAAAACGGCATACGATGAAAGAGAAGGCTGGATTATATGTGCGGCTAAATGGAAAGGAACTATTTATTTAATGGCTTTTGACACAGAAGCTGAAAAATTTGAAATACTCAACCAAACAGAAAAGGATTTGCAGTTTTCATTTTGGGGATTTAAATTTGAACAATATATTCTATCAGGTATTTTGTAATTATAAATTCAACATGGTATAATGCAAATTTGAATTTTAATTCAATAAATTAAGGGGGTATTCTGGTCTAGAAGTCTAAATTGTAGGCATTCTTCAAACTAACATAAAAAAAAAAATGAAAAACATTTTTACCATCCGTTTTTTTTATACGATGTTTATTGACATTTAAAGAATATAAAAAAAAAAAAATGAGAAATTTGAAAAATTACAGGCCGGTGAAGTGGGGGCTACAAAAAAAAGGTGCACCCTGGTTGACATGATTCCAGCCCTTGTAGTGATCTGAAACAAAAAAATTTGAAAAATTCTCAATTAGTGAAGATGTCGCTATCGCGTTGACCTTAGAAAAAAAAAAAAAAAAATTCAGAAAATGGCGTCGACACAAAATATCCATTTTTTAAAATTTTTTTTTTTCGACCTTTTCGAATTTTTTAAAAATACTTCAATTCAAAATTTTTTAAAATACAAGGCTGACGCGATAGAGAGATATATAAAGAAGATTCTCACCAAATTTCAAAGGAATCGGTTGGGTAGCCCAACCAGAATACCCCCTTAAGTTAAGAGAACAGATTAAGTTCAAATTGGTCTACTATTTTCTTTTATTTATCTAACATTTTACACAATATCAATATATTTTTATACATGCAATGTTTAAATTACAATATTTTTTTCCATTATAAAGTAACTACAAATAATAATAAAATAATATAAAAAAGCCATTCGGCAGCTGAAATGGAAGCAGATTTCCTCTCTTAATTTCAGATCTTTAAGAAAAATAACAAGTATTGATATAGAATTTTATTCAATTATCTTAGTTCAAGATCTTAATAATTACAGTTAATTAACTTAATAAGAATACAAATAAATTGGAAAAAAATTATGATGCATTTCGGATTTTCCAAACTTTTTTAAAGCTCATAATCCTAATGTTAAACAATCTTTATAGATGAACCAAATAAATTGCCAGATACTTCCAAGCCAGTGGATGAACGAGAAGAATTTTGTTGTGTATTCCAAAGCCATTTAAATGAAAATAAACTACTTTATGCTGCTGAGATGGATGGAGTGTACTCGGACAAATTGCTGTCAGATCCATTGCCGATTGAAAACTTGAGATTTATTGAATTAAAGACCAGTAGGTTGGTAGACAATGAGCGTCAATTTTCAAATTTGAAAAAATTTAAATTTATCCGATGGTGGAGTCAAAGTTTTTTAGTCGGGATTGACACTATTTTATGTGGATTTCGAGATGATAAAGGAGTCGTGCGGCGTTTGAAAAACTATCGAGTTGCGGATTTACCAAAAATTTCGGGAGTAAGTTGTAATAAAATTTAAGTAGATAGAGATATTTTTTTATAAAATAATCATTTGTTTTCACTTTTTTTTTCTTTTCATTACAGAGGTTTTGGAGTGCATCAGTCGCAATGAACTTTTGTGATGAGTTTCTGAATTACGTGAAAAAAACTGTTATAAAAAATTATGACAATACGATCTACAAATTTGAAAGGATTCCGCACAGTTATATTGTCGTGACGGAAGTTCCACCAACTTCGGAATATGCATTTTTACCTAAGTGGTTTTTAGATTCTATTGATAAATAATTTTTGTAAATATTGAGTTTTGATATCCAAATTGATTAATTTATGTAAAAGATTCTTGATTTCTCCAATTATGTCGCAATCTGTAATAATGTTTTATAATTACACATATGTAAATATTTTTTTTAAAGAAAATTTTATAAAGCTACATTTATTTTTACGTACAATTTTGGAATATCTTTAATATAAAGAAGTGGTTTTTGATTTTCCAACGTTTCTTCCTTCTTACACTTTTCATCCCATAATATTGTCGATTTCATTAAAGTTGACTTAGAAAAATTCGATTTAAAACTAGTTGATTTATTATCATTATTATTTTTATAATTATACTTCATAGAATTTTGATTTTTCAATTCTAAAAGATTTTTCCTTTTATTTACAAATGCCTTGTCTTTTTGTCTGTAAATACAAAAAAACTTGAGATGAATATTCTAATTTATTAACAAAATTTTTTTAATGAATAAATAATTGAATATTTCTTTATTAGCTTTATGAAAAAAATGTAAGTAAATTTAATTTTTAAATATGAATAACTAATTTTACCTGAAACTTTTAATAATGGTAGATGATTTTACAATTTTATCGTTTTGTTTATTATCATGACGCAACGATTGGACTTTTAGTAATTTATCTTGTTGATATTTCAAAAGCGCCTCTTTAGTCTTCATTATTCGCGTTAAAAATTGTTTTTCGCGTAATATACGTTTATTTTCTAATCGATTTTTTGATTCTATCTCACTTTCAATTTTAGCACGTGCTTTCTCAATTTTCCATTCTTTAATCAATTCTTTTTGTTTATCTATTACATTATTCCTTTTCAATATTAATATTTTTGCTGACTCACTTTCGTTATCGCTTAATTCATTGCCACTTTTTGATTCATATTGCGGACTAATATTTTTAAGTTCACTATTTTTTATTGATTCGATTTTTTCTTTTTTCTCTGATTCTTTTTTTGCACGCCACAATTTTACACTATTGCGTTGCTTTTCTCGCAAATTAATATAAATTTTGTACCATGCTTCATGATTAACTATTTTTTCTGTTGATAAATCAGGATATTTTTTTTGAATCTCCGCCACCATTGCTGGTATACTGTGAAACTTATTTCTAATTTGAATAAAATAGTTATGGTCTTCCTCTTTCCAATGTTGTGTATGGCCTAGTATAGAAAAAATTTTGCTCTCTTTATTAATAAAATTAAAAATTTAAAAAAATTGGGATTTTTAAAAATATTATTTGAGAAAATTACAATTAATTATTTTTAACTATTTAAAATTTAATTATTATTTTCTAACTAAGAATAAATTTAATTTATAATCCATTACTAAACTCAGATTAAAATTTCATTTATTAAAGATAATTTACTCATGTTAAGGCAAATATATATTTATAAAATTTGTTTTTTGTTACGGCACAAATATTATTAATAAACAAATTGGAGTTATTATTTTTTAACGATTCTTGAATTCACACTAGTGACGCAATGAACCTATTCAAAAATAGTTCATATGTTAAATAAGTAATTATGCGAATTCATAAGAATATATGAATGTATTGTAAGTTCCAACTGCTCAGAATTGAGTAATTTGCCCACTTATGAAATTTAGTTTTAGTAAAATAAATTCTAAAATACTTGACATTTTTTTTTAAGTAAAATAATTTTAAATGAAGCGTAAAATCTAATGATAAAGCGTATTAAAGAAAGGACGTAATTCTTACACTAGGTCATCGATGTCAAAATAAAAAATTATAATTACTGTTTGGATTATTAAGAAAAAATTACCTGTCTTTACAATTAATGATTCAAAATCTTTGACTTCACTATAATCTGTATCAATTTTATTTTTATCCTCAGATGATTTTCCGATTATTTTAGATTTTATTGTCGTTGAACTTTTTTTACTTTCGTATTTTTTGAGCGTTACTTTGAAATCATACAAATAATCTTCCAAATCTTTCTGTTCGTTTTGTAAAACTTCCAAATTAGAATCATTACCGAACTTTTTTATTTTTTCTAATAGTTCATTCATTCTGGCTTTACAATCATTAACATCTAAATAAAATTTCACAATATTTACTGACGTCTAAAATTAATAATATAAATTTTTATAAATCATAACAAAAAATACCGATTAATTTTCCATTATTGAATTGGTTTATTATAGCTTTAATATTTTCAAAATCTGTATTTATTTCAACCATTCTATTATAGAGATGTTTTGTAGTTTCTTCTCTATGTAAAAAAAAAAAAAAAAAAAAAACAAAATGACCAATATAATTATTCAATAATTTAATTTTCCAAAATTTTTTGTACTACCTTTTTTTGATACAACTTTTATATTCTTCCGTGAAGTTTTTTAAAATTTCTGAATCCGACTTGATATTATTTAAAAACAATTCAATTCCTTTTTCTATTATTTCTTCTTGTTGTTTCAATTTAATAAAATTTTTTATATACTCTAATCTTCCGGATAAACTCATGTTAATAAACTGTATAAGTCTAATTGAATTAGATTAATATTTTATTTTTTAGTCTGGGGTTGTTGTCACTGCAAGTAAACTAATTAGTAATGAGCATCTACAGTAAGCAGACTGGAGCTTAGTTTTGTGAACAAGGGTTTCCATAGAAATAAATATAACAATCCCCACTCTTTAATATCATCCGCGGTCTAGACAGGTGTTCATTTAAAATTAACAAATTATAACACCGTTCAATAATCACACAAATTAAAATAATTTCTTATCTTAATACTGAACCTTAACTAAAAATAATCAAGTCTATTTAAATAATCATTCAAGTAGTATATTTTCACTTTACAAAATATATTTTGTTGATTTTTTATACAACGTTTTATGAAATATATAACGACGATTGAAATGTATTGTTTAAATATTTAATAAATTTATTTAATAAATAACAGAACGGTTTTCATAACACTAATTTTCAATTTTTATTTGTAGAGTTGAGTTTCTGAATTCGGTCAGTGGATTTCCAGTTCATTCCTTGCTGTTCTAACTTTGGATTGCGCAACCTTCATTCACAGCCAACCTAAAAGTATAACAAAATTGTAAATAAACTGAGTATAATACATGACTTTATTATTTTCTCGATGATTAACTTACCATTATTTATATACGGTGTTTTGGAGAATGACCAACTAAACTGCTTTGTGTATTCAGGACTGTTTTATATTCCAAGTTGATCTTCCATCGTGAGTGATCGCTCTTGTTGATTGTTGTTTTTCGATACAGCTCGTTTCTCAATTAATTCGATTAGTGTGGGGCACGTTGCGTGCCCAATAAACCCTGAAAATTGACAAAAATACAAACAGCAAGACAGTACAAAATTTATTGATTCTATAAAAAAAAAAAACATAAATTAATCGCACTCCTCAAGATTTCGCGTTATGTAATGTTCGATAATACCGATTGAATTTTTTTAAATTAATAATTTTATTTGAATTGTTTTAATTGATTCAATTTTTTAAAATATCTTACATGTAGAATAATTGATTATTTTTAATTGATTTTAATTTTGTTAAATTAGAGTAAAAAATCTATTTTTAATGATCTGAAATAATTTTTTATCATTAAGATATTTTATAATTTGATTGATCAAAATAGGATAATTAAATAATCTACCTTATTATTTTATTTTCTAAACTACTAACTATTATGTAAGTTTATAATTCATTAAACAAATAATACATGCTTACAATAATAAATTTATTACAAAACAAATGCGATTCTCAAGGAAATTAGTTGCTGAATTTTTCATCAGACGTTACGAGAAAAAGTGGCCATGGGCCATATTATTGTATTAATTACCATTATCTTCATTATAATTACACGGAGAGAAAAATATGGAAATCATTCCTATAATTTAAATGAAATATTTTCCTATACCATTTTAGGAGCGATTACTTAAATTATGGGAATTATACCCATAATTTGTAGGAAACGTTACTATAATTATGGGAATGGTTCCTATAATTATAGGAACTTTTCACTAGATTTATTTTTTTTTGATTAAGTGATTTTTTTTTTATAATATATAAATTGATAAAAAAAGTTATCAGTTATAATATTTATTATTATTTTCATTATGAAATTAATCAGTTGCAGCAGTTGGTATTTTTTTAATCTTGAATGGTATATATGCTTGTAAATTAAAATAAAATTAATTAAAAAAAGAAAAGTTAATTAAAAAAAAAATTTCTTAAATAAAATAAAATTTCCAATTGTTTTGAAATTCTAAATTTTCAAATGTTTTCGCGGCTCAGCGTATGTATTGTAAATAAATAATTTACTTTAAAAATAAAATGAAATTGTGGAAATAAACAATGAATTTCCATATCTATTTTGCTTCTACAATTGTATAGTGAGAAAATATTCTTTTTATTAGAGAAACTTTAAAATTGCTATAATATTTTTCAATATTATTTAACACAATAATCACTGAGCTGGAATAAATAATTCAAGATTAAGAACATACGTGAATAAAAATTATGAAAAAGAAATTTTGAAAAAAAATTTTATTAGCAAAAAAAATACATAATAATTACTTTATATTTTTGAAGTGATTGCTTCATTATTAAGAAAATAAATTTTTTTCTATTATTATGTGCGTCATTCCCATAATATCATGGGAACCATTCCTATAATATTATAGGAACCATTCCCGTAATATATTGAAGCTATTCCATTATTGTATAGGAACGTTTCCAATAAATTATGGGTATGGTTCCCATAATGAGTATAGGATTAATGCCTATAATGATAATTTTATTATAGGATCCATTCCCATAATTGTTGGAAAGATTCCTATAAATTTCTCTCCGTGTATTATTAAGATTCTATTCTGGTTGTCTTAGGGTTGTCATCCGTCTTGGCTTACTTGGAGATGTTTGATTTTTGAGTTGTCCATAGTAATTCGGGAAGGTTTTATAATTTTTTTTTTAATTTTAGATTTTTGATAACTACTAAAGTCTTATTATTATATACAATTGCTACTACAGATAGAACTGACCAATTAATAAAAGAATAGTACCAAAAAATTTTAAATAATTTTCTGTAATTTCTTTGTAACTAATTCAAATTATTATTTAATCAATATATATATATATATATATATATATTATTTTATTCAATTAGTAAACTTTATCACAGTAAGTTCAATTGTTTTCTTCTTAATCTATTAGTAATTAAATTAATTAATTAATTTTAAAAATCATGATAAGCATTACAAATATAATTTTCCTCAAAATAAAGAAGAAGATTACTTTAATTGTGGTTTGTGAGGATATTAAAAATTTTGAATTGTTCTAGTTTTTACCGACGTTTAAGAAAAATTTTAAATTGAAAAATTCAAAAATTTTGTATTAAAAAATGATACTGTTTATTATTGCGTTAGAATTTAAGTATGTACCTCTACAGCATATATATCACTAAATAATAATAAGTTTTCTCAAAACGATTTATCAGTATTCAAATACTACTCAACATTTTCGGGTTATTAGTATGCAGTATATCAAACGTTGTATCAAATGTTTTATATGCGAATCATGAGTGGGACTCCGTATTACATCAGAATAATGCAGCAATCATATGTTCAACCAGATATTTTTTTGTTTTTTATTGTGCTAGTGTTATAACTGCAAGCACGCTATGTTTACCCAACTCATAAATTGTCATTTTGATGATTTTTTTTTAATTTCAATTTGATAATATTAAAAATTATTCAGTTTATAAGAATGCCTTTAAAAGTGATCAATAAAATTATATCTAAATAATAAATGAAATTATGAGATTAAAACGAAATTTTCCTCTTTGATATATGCTCCGGAATTGGCCATTTAATTTAAGGCTATAAACAAATTCTTAGTAAGTATAATTTTATATGCCCTAAATTTATTGATAATTTTATTTAGTTTGTGTTATTAAATTAATTATAAACATAAAAATAATAGGCTTAAGATATTTATGGTATGGTCGTATAAGATAGTTTTATGTAAGGACAGATTAGGTTGAATTCTATCTCTAGTCACGTTATTAAAGACAAAAAGAGAAGGCATTGGTTTTCTAGAAGGGTGTTCGTATTTGGCTATACTACCAAAAAAAAACTTATGTCTTTGAAGCGGCCACTCTATTCGTACTTTCGAATAACGGTTTCGTTAATTAGAAATTGAAAAAATCTTTTTTTTTTTAAGATTGTTTTTATTTAAACTCAAAATACATATTGTTTTTAGCAAGTTCAAAAAATTCGACAAAATAATTTAAATTATTATTATGACTCTCGTTGGACTGAGTAGATCTCACTTATTACTTCAAATCCTTAGTCATTATCATTAATTCATAGAAAAATCCCGTAAAAAGAAGTGTACTAATAATATTTCCAGGATTTTTTCATTTCCCGGACAAGTTTTTTTTTTTTTCATAAACGCTAAAAAAAAAACAAATTGGTCGTATGGGTCCAGCTATTTTCAAGTTATGCGCTTACCAAACGAACAGCATTTAATTTTTTAAACTGTTAATTTAAAATTATGACTTATTTTAATTGCAATTTAAAATTTGATAAAAAACCACACGGTCTTATGTCGCTTACATTTGAAAGTAAATTTACTACTTTCACATTCAATATCTATGGTAACAATTGTCGAAAAATATAATGGTCATTTAGAGATAGGTTTATTTCTTATTTTTACTTCGTTTATACAATTTCAAAAGCTTTTTCAAGATACAATTTCAACATGTATCTAAAAAATTTAATACAAAAAAAAGGTATTTTAATAATCGCTCTTGTAGTTGAGTATTTAGATTAAAAGTATTTTCAAATAGATAATTTACATTTATTGTTATTAAAAGCCTTAAAAGGGTTTAAAAAAATTTCAAAGCTTAAGCGTTACATAGGTTTCCTCCGGGAAAAAATGGCCTATTTTCAACAATTTTTTTTTTAATATAAAAGATGAAATATTTTATTCAAACCTTTTACTGTCTTAAAGATACATCTTTTATAAAGGATTACTGAAATTAAAAAGAAAAAAAATTAATAACTCTGCCATTGTGACGTCATTTTCGGCGAGCCCTCGGAAAAAAGATGCATCCGCGTTGACAGCAGAACTCCTAGCAGGATCATTTGAAGTAAAAAAAAAAATGTGCTTTAGTTAAGACTTCAAAAAACTAGAACTTGGACGAAAGGAAAAAAAAATGAAAATTGGATTTTTGACAGAGGTTTTTACAAAAAAAATTAAAAATTTCGCGGCATTTTTTTTTTTTAAATAGTTGTAATTGAAAAAAAAAATCCTTCCTCCCAAACCTTGTAAATTATATCTTGAAGACCTGTCTGAAATTTCATCAAGATCGGTTGAGTAGTTTTCGAGAAATCTTGACAACTGTCTTTGAAAACATAGTTTTGAGAAAAATGCGTTTAAAGTTTTGAGTGACAATACAACAGCGCCTTGAGCGCGCAACTTTTTAAAACTCGACCTCCGAAACTATTATTCGGATCGATTTGAAACTTTAGGATAATATTCTAGAGATGTTGGAGAAATTAATAAGAGAATAAAAAAAATCGATTTTTTGAAACCGTGAACCTCTTAAAAAAAATCTCCCTACTCCATTTTTAGCTAATTTCATTTTTGATTTGAATTAAAAGGATTATTCATATATTATATATTATTTATATCAGAGTAGATCAAACGATAAACCTAACCATGTACTAAGACTCATTTAATATGAGTGACAAAAATTGTAAAATTAAATTATAGAATGCAATTGAGATAAAAATTATAAACTACGTATAAAACAAAATGAAAAGACAAAAATGCCACAAGATTCAATACAATAATTCATATACTTTGAATGCTAATTTTGGTAAACAACTATTATCATTACATAACAAATTTTTAAACAAGTTTTGTGAAAATAATTTTAGCACTTGAAGTTAACAAAAATGTGAAAGTAAAAATTGGAAAGTAAATAATTAGATGGACTACCAATTATCAAGCTACCAATTAAGTTATGCAAAAATATTTTTAAATAAATACAAAAAAAAAAAGAATAAATATTGTAAATATGTTTAAATAGCATTGTTAATTTCAAAAATGTAAATATTACACAGTAAATTTTAATAGAGAAGAAATAAAAATTCTGAGGTAAATTCGTTCTCATTACAGAAGTTAATTATTACACTTTCATCTGTCAAGACTCTTGGAATGACATTCACTCACTCGTTGGTGAATATTTTTGCCCATTCTTCAGACTTGCCAGTTCATACACAACCGCGCTAAAGATAGTTCTTGTTCGGATATCCGTTGTTTCAAATTCGGTGTTGTGTTTTCAGATTATCCTGACTTAAAAGTCTTGATATAATTAAAAATTAATTGAGTTAAGAAATATTTGTTTATTGAAATTCTATTAATACTTAAAATAACGTGAAAATATAGTTATTAGTTTTTTTAAAGTTTTAAGTAATTGAAACAATGTATGAAGTAATAAGAGAGTGACAGGTTACGATAATTCGAAACAAATTCCACGATTTAATAATTTTTTTACTTATATAGAGATTGTGCATTTTTTTTACCATTTTCATGGTATGAAGTACCAAATATTCTGATTTTACAGAAAAATTATCAGTATACAGTAAAGTAATAATTACATTTGAATTTTATTAAATACAAATTTATTGAAAATATTAAGGTATTTTCGTACTATCATTACCCATAATTTGAACAAAAATTTCTGAACTTTTATCTTTGTTTATATTTATTCGAATTTTTTAAAATAATTTTTTCGATAAAAGTATGAAATTTAACCATAATTATTTAGTAGGTATAAAAAAATTACTTTAACAAAATAAAACAATTTTTGAATGGTATAAGGTATCACAACGATCATAAATCTTAAACTAATATAAAAAATTGATTAAATATAAAGAAATCGAAAAATCTAACGATCTTTGGAAATTACTTGAAAATTAAGAATCTAAAAATAATTTAAAAATTTACTGTCGAGGTAAATTAAATGAATAGATATAAATAAAAAAATTTTTTGCCCAGTGCTCAAGAAAAAAAATTCTTGAAGACTTCTGAAAAAATTGAACCTGATTTTGAATTTTTATCGAATTATATTCGATTATGAATATTTCATGTATTAAGTAAATGTTATGAAAATTGCATATATTTATATTTCCTACATCTCCGTATACATTGTTTTTCAATTGGATACTTAAAAATGCTATTTCTGGATCAATGTAAAAGTTTTATTGGTTTTTTATTTTAGAATTGTGAAATAAATACGGAGAAGTTAAAAATAACGATGCAGTGACAAATTTCATGTTATTAGTATTGCTGTGATTAAATAAATTTTTATTAAATGATCTTCATACTGTATGGATCCATATGACAATTATTATCATCTATCGGCGAAGAATGAAGATCAAATTCAAGGACTTATTGCTAATGGTATGTTTGTAAAATAAATATTATTACGAAGTTGAAATGTTGTCGGTGATTTTTATTTCTTATGTGAATTCCAAATTTTCAAGCTAACTTTTTGTAATTGTATTTTAATTTAAAATCAGCGTAAATTAATTGAAATTCAGCATTTTTACTTCAGTAATAAATGATTTTTTTGGTAGTTTATTGATAACACATGACATTAAAATAAAATCTATAAAAATAACAATGCCAATCTTTACTCAATGCGTATTCAGTGTTGGTATAGTTCAACAGAAATATTCAATTACATGGAAGACTAATCAGCTGATTCAATCCGGAAAGTTTATTAAGTTTATTTTGCTTCGAACTTTCGAAGTGCTAACAATAAAAGAGTAAGTTTTTTTATACTATTTTTTCATTTTGACCTTGGTTTGTTGTGACAAGAAAGTTCTGCCCGAGGCAATAAACTCCAGATATGTAATCACATATAAGTCCCCATTGGTGTTTTGCCCAAAGAGTAATGTGTGATGTAATTCATGTAGACGTTCTACATTATCTTTTTTTTTTCTTTCGCAAAAGCGTAGCTATTGCGTAAAATAATATACGATTAAATATTAAAATCAGCAGTTGCTCTTTAAATAAAAATATAACAAAAACCAACACCTAAAAATTAGTAGACTCTGTATGATATCCCCAAAACTGCACAAATCTTTAAATTATTTGAGCTCTTGTACTTTAAAAAGTCGAGAAGAAATTTAAATCCTGAAAGGTGTAAATCAGATGACAATAAATCACTTCGCATTCACCTCCAAAAATCATTCCGCATTCACCACAAAAATTTTTGACAGTGTAGATGTTATCACTCAATTCCAAATCAGTAGACGCAAAAAAAAAAACGAGCTATAATATGTGTATTTTAGTTTTCATGAATTTAGCACCTATCAGGGTGTTTTACACGGTTTTTTTTTTTCGGATTTATCTGAGCTTAATAAAAGTACATACATAAAATAATTGAAATCTATATTTGAATTTATTTTTACATGAAATTTGTTCATTATTATTCAAATAACTAACAGGAAATTTTATAAATTGTTGACGTAGGTCAGAGAGTTCCTTCTCAATGAACATTTTTGATTTTTAGAAATACAGAAAATTATTCGGCTCATTCTATACGCAGGAACACATAGACACATATATACAGAAAAACGTCTGTCTTAAAATTTGGAGAAACACTGCTTAAGACTTTCGAAAGATCAATATCCGGAGAAAATTTGTTTTGTGGTAATCAGCCCTGAACCAACAACTTCTTACTACTGAAAATTTTTTGTTTTCATACTCTACTAGATGTCAATCGTTTGCTTTTCTGGGCTTCAATCAAAATTTGTTTATGTATTGTTGTAAAATAATTTTTTCTCTTTATATCAGCATTTACTCGAAATTATGTTTTATGTTTAATGACTAATTCAAATTTAGCACTTTAATACCATCTACATTATTTTATTCTTATTAATTATTTATTTATTTATTTATTTATTAATGTTGGATTTGATTTTTAATTTTAATGAGCAATTGAGCATGTTTCATGTGCTAAAAACTTCCTGAAAACACGCTAAATCTGCTGCATGTTTTAGGAAACATTTTAAGGATAATAGTTTAGTAGTTTTTTTCAGTTAGGCATTTAAAAAAAAAAAAAAAAAAAACGTTTCTTCATTTATTAGTAAAGAAGGATTGACTTGCAGAACCTGTATATTTTGCGGATAATAAATAATTATTTGTATTTATCAAAATATACGAAAATTTTTTAAATATCATATACACTAGTGTATGGTATTGGGAGCTCCCAAAATATTTCCACTTACTCTTTTGCATATATATTACCTGTACAATGCAGGTTAATTGGGAAAATCCCCAAATTATACCAGATTTGAACCGCATTTAAACCAACTAAAAAAATGCTAAAAATTCTAAAATATCGATTGCATTCAATCTGCTAAGGTTACCATCATAATTAATTACTATAAATAATCATTCAAAAGAATAATATTTTATCCACTCTTATAATTTAGATGAAAAATATGAAAATATATCATGTAAGAGCAAACTATTCGTAACTTGATTGGTCAAATATATCATAAGCATGAAAATATAGATAATTCCATACCAACATTCTTTTTTAGTATAGTATATTTAGTAATTTTTTAAAACCTAATCTAACTCTTAAGTTAGAGTTTTAGTAAAACTTAGTTTGTGTGAATGTTTACACAGTAAAATTTCCATTAGGGTCATGTGGGGCAAGTGTGCGCAGTGGGTAAGAGTGCGTAAACCCATTCATTTGGGTCGCAAATACATAGCATTGCGCACTCTTACCCGCTGCGCACATTTGCCCCACATGACTCCATGTCTAAATATCAATTCTATAAATCTTGCAAAGAAAAATAAAAAAATCCAAGTTTCCGATTTCCTGCCATCTTTTTGCCTCTCTTCGACTATATAGGGGAGGGGGGGGCAAAATGGGGTAGGGGCGGCAAAATGGGGTACCCCCAAAATTTCATAAAAAAATTTTTTTTTTCCACAAAGCTTTTTTAGCTTTCTAAAATATATTTTAACGTCATTTCCTATAATTTCAGAGGAAAAAAAATTTTTTAATTAAAAAAAATTTCTTCTCTACTTTTTTTTACATGCAGTAAAAAAATTTTCGTCAAATTCAACACAAATATTTGTGTTACTGACTGTTTTTACACAAACTAATGTTAATTCTACATTCTAGTGTGTTGAATCAACACATGAGAATGTAAAATTATACACACTAAAGTGTAATTTGCTACACAAAAATTTTTACACTTTACATATTGACGAAAAATTTTTTACTGTGCACACACACACACACACACACACGTGTGTGTGTGTGTGTGTGTGTGTGCACAGTAAAAAATTTTTCGTCAAATTTAAGACAAAAACATGTGTTGATGACTTTTTTTTACACAATTTGTGTTGAATCAACACTCTATTGTGTTGAATCAACATACTAAAATGTTAAATTCTACATGCTAAGATGTTAAATTCTACACAAACATTTTTACACTTTTACACAATGACGAAAAATTTTTTACTAAGTGTGTGTGTTTAAACCTCTCATAACTTTTGTGCGATTCCGCTGATTTGAATGACAATCGCGTTATTCGATAAGGTTCAGCGAAACTTAGACTTCCCCATAAATTTAAAATAACTTTTTTCTTTCAACAGCTTTTAAACAGATGTACCAATCAATTCCAAAATCTAAACAGTTCGTTAATTTAAAAAACGACGTTGACTGTTGCAAACCGCATCAAAATCGGGTGATGTGTTGAATAGAAATCGTACACTAATTATTTAAAAAAAGTATCTTTTTCAAATAACATTGAATTTATTCTCGAATTATTTTTGATGACATAATTTAATTATGAATGCTCAGAAAACTGAGTCGGAGGCCACCAATTGCTTCAAAATCATTTGGTGCGCTTGTGAGATATTTAATTTAAAAAGTAAAATCTTCAGGCCTACAAGATTATTTAACTTGAAAAAATTTTCCTGAATCCCTAAACCAAGAAAGAGAGTACAAAAAAAATTACGAATCTTTTTTTTTCGTGCTATTACTTTGAATTGCGTGAGAACTATGAGTCTAAAATTTTTTTCACCGGGAGTTCCAAATACTAGAATTTTCTCAAGAGAACTCTTTTTTTTTTATCTTGATATTATTTTTACTCAAGCGAAACCTGTCAAAAATTACGACAAAGTTTTAAAATTTTTTTTACTACCTCAATTTTTGTTAGGAATATATTGCTTCAACTAACAATGTCTCTTTTTTGAGTGATTTGTTCCTCTCTTTTGGTTCTTTCGTAGACTTATCGATAAGAAAATGTTATTTTTTTAATGATATTTCATTTTCGGATGAAGAAATTTTTTTTCACTCTTTCAGGGAGTACCCCATTTTGCCCGCAAAAAAAAAAATTTTTTTTCTACGGTAACTTGAAATTTGATTATTTTTCTTTAATTACGACTGAAAACGAGAAAAATCAGCGTATTTAAGTCCTTAAAATCATAACGATTGCTTAAGTACCCCATTTTGCCCCCCCCCTCCCCTACATATAGGAATCGCTTTTGAAAAAAAACTGCTTATTTTATATTATTATAGTATATGGATCGGTCCTATCGAATTTTGAAATTGTTTACTATATTTTTTCGATATTTATATCAAACTTTAACAGCACAAAAAATATATTTGTATAAATAATAGAATTGGGGTTAGTGAGTCATTAAACGAATGTTAACCCCAGCATTTCATAAAACATTGTATCTACACGTAAAGAACAAGATTGTACTGGCTACCATCCTGGATTATACTCCTTAACACCTGAAGTAAAAAAATGCAGATAGTACTCAATAAAATCTGGATTATTCTGAATAACATCAGAAATTTCATTGAATATAATCCAAATAGTACTAAATACTATTTGAAATTTTTCTTACCTCAGATGTTACAAAGTATAATCCGGTATTATGGTAGTCAGTATAATATTGTTCTTCTCGATTTAATATCGTAAAATTTTAAATGTAAAATCATCAAAGTGACCTATTGAAAGTCTGATTTGGTATTACGACGTTACAATTGTCATTTTTCCTACAATTTTTTTCCTTGAATACAGTAAGCGGTTTCTTATAACTTTTTTATTATAATCATTTATTCATAAATTCATAAAACAACTCTTCTAAAATAAATCATTGGAATATCACTGATTCCACTCCTGAGAAGTTTACTGGTTGAATCAGAAAAGTTCTACTGTTTCGTTTCAAAAGAAATCGAAAAATTCGTTCAAGTATTTCAATATAATTAATTAAGTTTTTTCCATTATTTATATAATTGAAGCACACACTTCAATGTTCTATATATCAAATAACTATTTACCCGCATGTTTAACTACTATCGTAACTTTCGCTTATTATCAACGATGATAATTAGTAGGCAAGCGATAGTAGTTCAGTAGACAAACATTAGTCTGCTGAAAATACACTGATAAAAAAATTGACTTGACTCAAGAGCCAAACTCTTGAACCAAGAATACCATTTTGAAGAAAATGATTTTCTTAAGTCAAGAGAATAAATTCTTGAGTTAAGAAATTATTCTTCATATATATTTTTTTCGTGAGAGAAAAAAGTCTAATTTTTTGGAGAAATATAATTAATATTTACCATCTTGAACCTCAAATAAATTGTTTGAAGTATTTGTCAGTAATTTGGCATATGAAATTTGTTTCAGCTAATAGAAATTAGAAAATAGACTTTAGTCTAAAATCTTCATACTCGGATTTTTTTTCGGATTCAAATTCATTCACTCCGAAATCATTTCGCTGAAAAATAATCTCCAGATTTACTTCATATGCGAAGTAATTTATTTCTTCACTCCGGTAATTCGAATGGGGGGGAGTGATAATTCACTCCGAACTCACTTACGATTTTTTTAAGTATTTATAGAGGAAATAAAGCTTACTTGAGCCGATAAAATGTTTAAGGAAAGACCAATCTTATCTTGGAGGAAGCAAAAACTTTTTCAAGGCAAGAAAAATTTTCAAAAACTTTGTCCAAGATAACTTCATTTTTCCTAATTTTTTTCTTTAGTTAAGAATAGTTATGATAAATTAACAGTACACAGTAAAAAAATTTTGCGTCATTGCGTGAAAAAACTTAGTGTTAAAAATTTTTGTGTTAAATATTTAACACTTTTATGTGTAAATTTAACATTGACTCTGTTAAATCAACACAAAAAAGTGTTAATTATTTAACATAAAAATTTTCAACACAATGACGCAAAATCTTTTACTGTGTATCTTTTTCTTATGAATTATTTTAATCAAGTTGATGATTTATAATTAATACTAAAAACCTTGAATTTGTATGTAGTTTTAAAAATATTTAAATCTCTTTATAGGAGACCTTCAAAGTTTGGACCAAACTCAAGAAGTCGATTGGATTGAAAAATCAAATTTTGAACCTTCATTTCCAGATGAAGATGACGTAGAATATACAATACCCGTAAGCATTTTTTTTTTATTTTAATGAGTTTTCATCAATTAAAAAAAATGATTATTTTGATAATCATTGATAAATATTTATTTCCATAATAATTTTTCACCATCTGTAAATTCTCAAATATGTAGTAATAAAAATCAACTGAAAAAACAAAATACAAATACTAAATTATTTTTGAAAAATATTAATACTGACCCGCTTTCTTACCATTAACAACTGTATTATAATATACTATTTCCATATAAAGTAGATTTTTTATTTTTTCCTTATCAAATGAAAACGATAAGTCAACGATAAGTTCGTTTAATTCCAATAAGTTCGTTTATATTTGATAACAAGATAATAATTTGTAGCAGTATTAATTCAATATCTCTCTACGTAGTTGTAGTATTATATGTACATAAAATATTCAAGCTTATGGTATACCAAGTATTTTGTCAACATTTAAAGTGTGAACCCATTGAAATGACAGATTTGCAGAAAATCAAGTGATCGTGTTGGTGGTTTGTTAGTAAGTGAACTGCACACCCAATTGCGCATATTTTTCCTACCACGGTAAATTTGAATATAAATTTGGTATCATACATAAATAATAGACTTTGTATAGATATAAACTTTGTTGCAAAGTTTTATGTAAAATACAGTAACAATTGTTAGAAAATCGTTTTTAGAGTTTGCAAATCGAGTTAGTTGTAATAATAGTGCATGAAGTATATAGCAAGGGTTGATAACCCATGTTATTTTAAAATATTAATGCAACTGTCGCGACAACCCTTTCTTTAACAAGTGACGTGGGGTTTGTTAACCTTCTAAAGATAACTTGAACTCTTTGTCTGCAATTGATGTCGAGTTCATGGATTATTTTCAGCGTAAGAGTTTATGCATGTCAGATCATAATTATTTGAGTAGGGATAATTGATTAACAAAGATAGTAACATGAAAGGGGTTGTTTGTGTCTTAATATAATTTTTATTGCGCAACTAATAATTTCTGAGGGTATGAATAATCTCATTTATTAAAGATGATTGTCTGGAAAGAAAGGAAAAAAGTTTTGTTCTACGATAAGCTTAACTGGTATGATTAAGCGCTTGCGCACTTTATTATATAGCTGTCAGTTTATTCCGCACCCTCGGTCAATCCACTTCAATATCCTACAATAATATAACGCGAGTCGTATACATTTATTGATTGACAGGTGAGATAGACAGATACAAGTAGGACATACTTTACTTCTCAAGCGTTGAGTGTCATTCTTAAGACTTGATATTAGCTGAGTTAGCCTTCAACAGTGCATTATTTTTTTTTTAAGATATTGAAACGTAAAATTTTCTTATCATTAATAGTTTCTCAGGTGTGAGAATATACTAGCTTTTAAATTATCTCAATCAGTATTATTTTAACTTTGATGATCATATGGTTGATAGTCGAGATAAATATCACTCACACTTATACATACTTTATATATTTTTTTAAATTTTAAACGAATTATAACTCAAAAATTTAATTAATTATTTTACTCGAAGGTTTATTTAATCATATATATAATTTATTTAAACAATGTGCTTTGTGGTGAAAGACAATAGTTTCTTTTGGATTATTCTAACACAATAAATGCTGCTTTATGTGTTAATTTATAATTTTTTTTTGTTTTTTATAATTTAATAGTGAACATCAAAAAATGTCTGATATTAGACGGTTAACTCATCGAACTTTGTATGTTTCGGGTTCTACAAGTAATGATGTGATTAATAATGATGATCCACCGGAATCTTGGTCTTCGAGATTTTTTTCTATTTTTTGTGGACGATTAAGCAATAGAAAGTTATTTTCAAATTCAAATAAAATGCACGTGATGGTTCTACCACCCGGTCCGTTGATTAGAGATGTATGATTTCGACTGATTTTTTTATTTTCAAAAATTGTTGCTAATTGCCTCGATAGAATCGAGTTTATAGCGTGTGTAGTAAAACAACAAAATTTATTTTTTAAATACGTAAAGTGATATAAAATAATAATAAAGTGTGTGCATACATTGAACAGCATTCTAGTTTTTATTATTTTTATTTCATTGATTAGACAAAAATTCATGTTTTTCATTGCATTGTTTGTCACTTGAAATTTATTATTTCTCGATAAAATTTTTGTTTAAAAATATTTTTATGTTATTATTCAAAAAAGTAATACTTATGAATGTTATACTTTATAACAATAATGCGCCTTCCTAATTTTAATTACCTGGGAAACAAAGTGATCGAATTTATTTTTTTTTTAATCCACCAATATTTGTGAAAAACATTTACTTTACGTTTTAAGAAAATTAAATTAAATATTAATTCAATATTTCTTCATAGATTTTTATTTAAAAAAAATAATTTTCTGTGATAATATCCAGTGATTCTTTTATTTTGAAATTAAATTGATGAGAACCATTTTTTTTTAACGAATGCAAGTCAATTTCGAGATTTTTTATTTTTGTGAATATTTAGTAGTTTGTGCGATTATTAAAAAAAAAATTAATTCAACGAAATGAAACTGATTGATTTAATATAATTTGTTTATATTTTTTTTTATAAATATATGATAATTAAATGATATTATGTTTTTCATTGGAATCAAGATATACTATTATAATTGAAAGTGAAAAAATGTTGGTAATTTGATTTTCGTGAAAATTTTTTTAAATTTGACATTGATATAAATATAATATAATTTTACAAACAATTAATTATTAGTTTACAAATTTTTTTTTTTTAAAAACTTACTAGAAAAGCTTTTTGTTTATATTTTATTCACAACTTTTAAACTTTTTTTACTTATCTATATTTCTTTTATTTTAACTTCTTTATATAATTTTTTTTTTTTTCATTGATCAATCGATAAATAGATCGTCTTTTGTCTTTTATTTAATTTTGCCTATCTTAAAAAAATATTTATGAAGAATTTCATAACTTCAAATACTAAATATTTTAAAAAAGATCCTCGTACTCGACGTCGCGAAAAATTAGAATTTACAAACCATGAAAATATTGAGGAGAGTTCTCCTTTGTCATACTCGGTTATACTCTGTGTTTCAATTTTTATTAAAGGGTTATCTTCATTAATGCAAATTAAAATATTTAAATTATTTTTTACAGAAAGGACCGCAAGATTTCAAATCAACTTTGTCAATAGGAGCTTTATCTCAAGTAGTAAAGGTTAAAAAAAAATTAATATTATTCACAACTAGATATATTTTTGCATGTTTAAGTTTATTTTTTGTCCAAATAGATTTTATTAATATTTCCTCGAGACGATCAACAGTTGGAAGTTTTGAGTACTGTTGCAAGAAACTTAGGATGGAGCGTATCAATAGCCAAAAATGCAGAACAAGCTGTAGAAATATTTCAAAATCGATACCACGAATTAATAATAATCGACCGCCGAGGTCATCGAGCACCCGAAGCCGATACTATTTGCCAGTATACATTAATTATTATTATTTTTTGAACATAATTTGATAGAAAAAAATAGTAAGGCAAAATATTAAGTCGTATCATGTATTTCTTTTGTTGCAAGAGCTATACGTTCCACAAACTATCATCACAGTAGTGTAATTTTGGCACTGGTTAAAAAATCGTAAGTTAATATAAATAAATTTCTAATATTTAATATATCTTCTTATTCAATATAATAAATGAAAAAAAATTATATTCTTCATTTTCTCTTATGAAGATTTTTCACAACGACTGATAATGAAAAAATTATGACATTAGATCTCCTAAATATTGGCTACAGTAGAGTAAGTATGACATTATATGTCTAATTAATATGTTAACAATAATTAATAAACAATAAATTTGTTTTTTAAGGCAATGATGGAATGTTCACATGATATAATGCTTAGCAATCAATTGATCGGGATCTACGTAAGTGAAATTCAACCAAGACTGCAACTTGCAGCAGCACACGCTCTTTATGTAGCCATGGACAGGTGTAAGGATATGGTACATATAACTGATGAACACCATATAGTCCGAGTAAGTTAAGCATTGAATTTAAAAAATTTTTAAATTATTAATTTCTTTTCGGCCATTACTTTTTATTTTAGTTCGTTAATAAAGCAAGTGAAAAATTACTGGGCTACCAATATGATGAAATTTTAGGAAGCAATCTCTCGGAAATAATAACACATGAAAATTTTGTATTGATGGATCAACAATTGCAGCGTGGCAGAGAATTTGAAGGTAATATGAATTGCAAGAGAAAATTTAAGGATACAATAACAATTAATTGTAGAATCATCCCATTCTGCGCTTCGGGAAAGTAGGTATTTTTTACAGTTTTTGTCATCATACACAGAAAAAAAGATTTCTTGACTAGAGAATAAAATTCTTGGCTCAATTAAATTTTCGGGTGCCCGAAGGAAGACCGAAGTTGTCTTGGCCGAAGTAAAAATTTTTCTTGAAATTCTATTCTTGGTAGAAGTCATTTTTCTTTATTCAAATTATCATAAATACTTGATACAATAAATTTTCATATTGGATCAAGATTTTTAGATACTTTAGGGAAGCAGCGCGACCTACTTCAGCTGAGAAAAAAATTTTCTCACCTTGAGAAAATTTTTCTCTCGAATATTTGATACCCATTTTAGATTATTTTAGCACGCAATTATACATATTGAATGAAAGAAAATGGTTCAATATTATTTGATCTTCCAATTTGACATGTTCGTCAATAAAAATATTAATGAAAATTTATTATCGAGATATTTAATTTTTTGGAGCAAGAAAAATATTTTCTTGGTTCAAGTGAACCATTCTTTCTGTGTACAATTTAATTTTGCTTACAGAAAAATAATATTAACATGTACATATTACGGTTTCAATTTTATTTTAATCAGGCAACCTACTCATTACGTTTACATTCATGATACCATGTATTTATTGGAAAATATGGGAATTTCACATACTGGACAAAATCCTCGTGTTAGTTTACATTCACTTCGTCGCGGATCCTACGACCTTAAATCAGTAGGCAGTGATGTCGGAAGTAAGTATTTATCACATTATCTTATCGATAGTAAACTTTATCTTTTTACACAATATATTTTCTCGATATTATTGAGAGTTATACATACTTTTTCCGGTAGCTGTTTACTTATAACTTATAACTGATAAATAACAGTATCTAGGTAACCATATTTTATTTTTTATTTATTTTATAGCTCAACGACGTTCAAGTTTACAAAAATTAAATAATTTACCATTAGAATCACCCATCACTAAAGTGATGACACTTTTAACAAATGCCATGACTGAAATAAATGCCGCAAATCCTGAAATAGCTACGCAGATTGATAGGGTATCAATTTTTCTATCAAAGATGTTTATTATTTTTATAAAAAATATGTAGAAGTAGTTACTAAATTAGAAAATTATTTTTAATGTTGAAAGGCAATTGAAACTCTTAAAGCAACAGAACTTTACAGACCATATCTCAAAGAAGATACTAAAATTACTAATGATCCAGTTGCATCAGATTTAGTGGAAGCACTGTTATCAGTAAGTCTCAATTTTATTGCTTTTTTTAAGCATTTATTTCTTATCAACATAGTACAAAAAAAAAGTAATTGGATAATTCGACAGAAACCATCTCATTATATTCGTGATGGACGAAGATCTTCGAATGATTCAATGCGCAGTGTAACTATGAAACTTGGAAATTCAATAAGCCATCGAACGCTTACAAAAAACCTCCAAGGGCCAAGAGAAATTGATAAATTGCTAGATCGCAGTCTCGATTGGGATTTTGATATTTTTAGCCTAGAAGTACTGACTGAAAGAAGGTTTATTCAATTTCTATATCAATTTAGTTAATATTTTGAATACTTTTATTAAGATAGGGGATTTGTTCAATTACAGGCCGCTGGTACATTTGGGAATGAATTTAATGTGTCGATACAATGTTCCTGCTAAACTGAATTGTGATGAGACAATTTTACGAAATTGGCTTAGTGTAATTGAATATAAATATCATTTAGATAATAGTTATCATAATTCAACTCATGCAGCTGACGTCTTACAAGCAACGGCACGATTTATGCAGTCAGAACGACTGCAAATGGTTTTAGAGCCTCTTGATGAGGTCGCTGCATTGATTGCCGCTGCAGCGCACGATGTCGACCACCCCGGTAAATCAAGGTACGTCATTTATATAATCAAATTCAATAAAACTTATAGTGTTTTTAATTTTATTAATTTATAGCCAATTTTTATGTAATGCTGATAATAAATTAGCAATACTTTATAATGATATATCAGTACTTGAGTCTCATCATGCTGCATTGACATTCAAACTGACACTATCTGATGACAATGTTAACATTTTTAAAGTTTGTATTTTAAAATCGGTTTGTATGAACTTAATTTGTAGTGGAAGATGATATGATTTTTTTTTTTTTTTTCAGAATTTAGAAAAAGAAACTTATAAAATCATAAGACAAAATATCATAGATATGATTTTGGCAACAGAAATGACAAAACATTTTGAACATTTGGCTAAATTTGTCAATATTTGCAGTGGTACAGGTAGTGATGAGGTAAGAGAAGATATTTCCTTTCTTAATATATTTGTTTTACTAAATTATTTATAGAATGGTTGAAAATTGAAATTCTATCTATCAAAAAATTTTTTGACATAGCCATATTTGGCCTGATAGATTTATGTATAATTTTTTTGATATATTTTAAATTAATATGACATGATAGGCCCATATACAATTTTTTGACTAAAGGTAATGTTGAAAATCTTCGACAGAGGGCGCATGATTGCTGAATCGTCTCCTTACGAGAGAGTTTAAGTAGAGATAAAAAATTATAAAATAAAAATAAATTTTTTACTCCCCGAAAGAGCTTATCTGACATTGATTGTTGCATTAATCACTAAACCAATTTTTGTATACCACGACATATTTCTAATAATAATAAATTATTTTATTATTCTCGTAAATAGCCTGATATAGCCATGTATGACTATCAGAAATTTTTTTCACGGGTAACACCTATACAATTAATTAAATTTCATCAAAATTGAATCAATCTGAATATTAAAATGAATTTTTTAAGCATTGGGCGACAGCGAAACCTTTCATAAAAGTATAATTGTAAAGATATTTTCATGGCATGAACAACAACATTCTATAAAAGTATAATTTTTGAATCTAAAGTTTTGTATAATTGAGAATTATTTGATTCATTCAAAAAACTTTGTCTCAGTTAAACAAAATTTTATTTCAATTGAAATCATTCGTTTTTGTATGTGAATAAATTGTTTTTAAAATAAGAAATTCATAAATACTCATGTTGCACGACTCATGATGCGAAGCATCAGAGAGTGCTTTACGATCGAAAAATTTTTTTCGCTTCAGTTCGGCAACGATTTTTATTATTACAGTCTTGTTAGATCACGAAATCAAGATAGTTTGCATACTATTGTCAAGATAGTTCAATGGAGATTAATTAGACACTTTTCAAAAAATGATTTAGTGCAATATAAACGGAAAAAAACATCAAAATAGGTCAAAAAATTTTCCTGTCCGTCATGTATGAAACTCCGGAAACACTGTAATTTGCGAAAAAATCCATTAATTGAGTTGAATTATTTTTTTTTTAATTCTTTGAAAGAATTCTAGGTCACCGAATGCGATTGGCTAGATAATTCAGTGTCGTTTAATATATTTTTTTTTTCACATTCTTTATTTTATTAATATTTCATAATTAAATGAGTATTATGAGTCGTGCACTTTTGGAATTTCCAAACTTTTTTTTTTTTGTAGTATAGTTATACATAAATTAAAACCGTTTAATTGTAAAAAATTGCTAGTTATTTGGATAGAATCTTCTATTTCAATAATCTTTCATTTGACAATAATCATTTTCGGTATTCGATTGTGATTTCAGTACTACTCTGACGGAATTGACATGGTAACGCTATTGCAACCAGAAAATGTGACGCTAGTAAAAATAATGATGATCAAATGTGCTGATGTGTCGAATCCTACTCGTCCTCTACGATGTTGTATAGAATGGGCTAAAAGAATAGCCCAAGAATATTTTGATCAGGTTCGAAAAATTAACATTGAAGTCTAAAAATAATAAAAAACATATAAATAATCATAGGAAAAATAAAAAATCCACGCAATTGTTTTAGACTGATGAAGAAAAGAAACAAAAAATGCCGGTTGTGATGCCATTGTTCGATCGCAATACTTGTTCCATTCCCAAATCTCAAATTGGATTTGTTGATTATATCATCAATGATATGATTGAAGCATGGGATGGTGTGTATTATGTATATAAATCGTGTAGTTAATTTTTGTTATCATTAACTGTGATATTTCTCTAATGAAAAACATTTATTATTTTCAAATAGCATTCATTGACATGCCAGAAATAGTAACACATATGAAACAAAATTATGATAAGTGGAAAGAATATCATGTAAGTTCAAATTTTTATACTTAGATTATAAAACTAAGATAATATTATTGTACTTTCAAATACCTGTGTTAAAAGTTTGAGTTTCAATGAAACGTTGTCTACAAATCAGAGGGTTGCCGTTTTATCGTTAAGCGACTCGCTTCAATTTCTTTCATTCAGCTTCCAGTTTCACTTTTTATTTTTTTAATTAAATAAATTAAAACTAGAACTATATTTTAGAAAATTTTAAAGTAAAAATCATAGCTGCATTTTGTTTCACGATAAATTAATTACTTATGATATCATTAAATTTAATACTATTATTTTAAAATTTTTATGTAAAAAGAAAATTAATTAATACTTAATATTTTAACATGTGGAATAATAAAATAATGTTATGTTTTTTTTTTAAATTTTCTACTTTCAGGAAAAAGGAATTTCCACATTAAGTGATATAGAACGACTTCAAACGACACCAGAATTGAAAATACCTACTTTACGATGATATATTATGTAAACATATTATTCTTTAAAATTTGTATAAACTGTTTTAATTAAAAACTATACTTTGTTAATTAAATTGTGTATTATTTGGTCTACTTCTTTAGTTATAAATAAAATAAAATATATTACAAGTAAATAAAAATAAGACAGAATTATATGGTTGGAGCTTGTTTATATTTTTATTTATCAGGTTATCTGACAAGATTAATACAAATGTAAGATAGTAGCAGTGTTAAGACATTTTATATAATTTTATTTACTAAATGTTGTCATTTCCATTTAAGGATATGATGGTTATTTATTATATTTAAATAGTTTAATGGTATTTAAAGTTTTCGTTAAACATGTTCCGTTATTCATATCATTGGTGGTAATATTTTGTTACTGTTTGTTTGGCTTCATAGGATAATTTTTCTTCAAGTTATTAGCATATTATGTAGTACATACATTAATTTAAACGCAAGTTTTTGTCCATAAAAGAATATTTTTAAATGTAATATAACGTAATTACAAGCATTGACAATAATTATTTTATTACAACATTTAAAACTACCGAGTAAGATGATGATTTAATAGTTATAAATGTTTCATATTGAATATCATTTAATTTTATCGTTTTATCCAGTTCCACCAGTGTCTAAATATAAAGTTTACATCCATATAATATGTATTTACACGGCTTCATCGAAATGTAAGTAGTTTTTACCTCATTACATTCATTTTGTTTTATTGAAAATTATGCGTAACCTCTTTTTCTTTCTTTCTTTTCTTCTTTCAATAAAATTATTGGAATATATAGTGATACTTGTTGTAAATAGTAATGAGGTTTAGTAGTTGCTTATTTACTAATCACCTTATCTTTATCAATTCTAAAAATTGTGTTTTTTTTTCCAATTTAAGTTCTTTTAAGATTTTTCCAATAGATATTGATTATTACTCTAATAAAAGTATAATTAGCAAATAAAAATTCTAAATAGTTCAATGTATTTTTACGACCCATATAGCTTTTGATTCATTAATTATTTAAGTTAATTAAAAAAAAAAAAAAAACGAAAAGTTAATAAATGGTAGATAGTTTTTAAAATTATTTTTTTTTTCTCTCTTAGCTATTACTAAATAATAAGATACACACTCAGTAAATATTTTTTTTTTTTTCATATTATAATTACTATTATTTCTTTCTTTTTAAATAATTAGCAGCAGCATGCATTAATTTTGCTTATGCGTAATTTAAGCATAAATTTAAACTTAAATACTTGTTTGCCTACATACTTAGTATTTACTATTCTTTTCACATTTATAAATATGGAATTTCCAAAATATTATCGCGATTGTCTATGTTTATGTTATAAAAGTATCTTAAACACCAGTTTTGCTATTTTTTAATATTTCAAATTTATTCTGATACTTGTGACTATTATTTGTCCTAGAAATATTTTAGACAACGTGAATCATTTCGAAAAACTACAAATTTATTTTTAGACAAATGGTTCATAAATTTTGTTTAATTTTCTAATCTGGTAAACTATCCCACCCGCGAGAAAAACTATTTAAAGTTCACCATTTTGCGTCACTTACTCTCAGTTACTCCTCAGTGAAACAAGAAGAAGCAAAGTTCGTATTAAAAGTGCGTATAATTTCTGTTATTATTCATTATTGTTGTTATTTTTTTCTTTATATGTAAATGCATATAACGATGAGTTAAATTTGTTTTTATTCTATTGAATATGTTATGTCTTATTAAAATTACGTGATGCTAACTTAATCTTACATTAAATTATAAAACCTTCAATTTTTTTTTTTTTCAATCTAAAAAATGCTAAAAAATTTTTCAATAAATATGAGTTAACTAATAATAATAATAATACTTTAATAATCGAAAGGAAGCATAAGGCAAAATTTTTGGAGAATTAAAAATATGACTTAGTTCTTTTTAGTTGAGGTGTGCAATAATTGATCGATAATGCAAACTGTAGTAAAGTATCAATACATGTCACTCTTCCATTGCACACCACAAGCGCGAAGACGTTATTGTCAGATTCTGTATTTCTTTTAACTCAAAATTTTTTTTTTTTAATTAAAAATTTAAAAATTATGAAATAAATATTTTTTAAACTATATAAGTAAATTTATTCTCCAAAGATGATGTGGCTTTCTTAAATGCGTACCTTATATTAAATATAATCTAAAAGCATGATACAAGAAACACTACATTATTCAGTATCCTTTTATTTTCACTGTGAATCTTAATATTCGATGTAACCTGAGATAGTTTGCTGTTAAAAGTTTATTTTCTTTATTTTTTGTCTCGAGTCACAGCTTACCCTTTTTTTTTGTTTATAAATATTCTTGTTATTATTATTATTATGTACTTATTGTAATTATTGATTAAATTTTAATTATAACTTTGAACTTTATTGAACATTAAACTTTAAAGTAAATCAAAAAAATATTAATTGTAAAAAATAAAAAAAGATAATAATTAAGAAAGAATCAAACGATTGGCTAATAAATTAATTGAAGAAATTACAAAACTAATTTTTGATTATTCTTAAAAAAAAAATTAAAAAGTAAATAAATAATTTATTACATTGTTAAAATATATATTTAATTTATGATGAGCACTTAATCAAGATCTAATTAAGTGGACTACATCTCGTCATTATAAATTAGATGTATATTCTAACAATGCAATAAATAATTAGAAAGCAAAAAAAAATTATGTACTGGAAGAACGCAATATATTATTACTACTGTTGCTGATAAGTTTAATCCATTAATTGTATATTATTTAAGTATCTTAACCTAATTATTCAAATAATTGTGCGATCATTATTTACTGACCAATCCAATGCTTCTCAAATAAACTTTTATTATCAATCTAACGTTATAACTATGATATTTGAATGATATAATTATTTGTTAGCTTGAAGATCATCAATCAATATTACTTTAATTACTCTAGATAGCATTAAGTAATGTATCTTAATTATTTAAACCTACGCAGTTATTACGTAAATTTTAATAATAGATTATAATAGTAATTATTCGGTGTTAAACTCCCTTCTTCGTTAATATCCTAACACATATTAAAACCTTACGATTTTAATTTCAAAGATGTTTATGTGACTGAGCAGATACTACAGTCCAATATGATACTTGATTAATTAATAACCCTCACTCACTTAAGCTAAAGAATAACGCTGATGATAATACAAACCGCATAACTCATCGTTCTATTCGTTACATTATAGAGTACTTTTAATTACTGAGTTTATATTTAGTTAATTTATTTCTTAATAGAATATGTCCGTGGTGCCTTTAATGTATCGCGATTGGTGGGATGACTTTGATCGTCCAGTATCCAGATTGATAGATCAACACTTTGGAAGTGCTCTAAGTCGTGATGATTTATTTTCAACATGGAATATCAATAGACCACGTTCAGTTTTTCCTACCTCTATGTATTACAGACCATGGAGAAATCTCGCAAGATCTAATTCCAGTGGTGCAAGCACCATCCAGTGTGACAAAGATAAATTCGAAGTAAGAATTCCAGCATGTGGTGATAATTAATATTCTAAGTTTATTTTTATTTCTTCACACACTTGATCTTTTTTTTTTGTTTTTGCAATTTTAAGAACCATTAGCTTTTTTTATTTTAATGTTTAAATAGTTAAGCTGACAATAAATTTCGAATAACATGCGACAATGCAGATTTTTTGCTAATAATAGACACATTATCAATTGAAATGCTAATTATGAATCAATAATACTAATTATAATATTATGAAGAGTATATCGTAATATTATACTTCACATAGTTATAATATTAAACGTAAGTTTAGACATGATTAATCTAATAATCATGTATAAAAAAAAATTGTAATATTTTTTAAGAGTACAAGTTATTATGCTGATTATTACTAATTGATTATTCATTTTTATGAGTAGAAGACGATTACTATGCAAAGCGAGTAAAGCTCTAATTTATGATGTAATTATATTTTAGGTATTATAATATATATTCTCAGGAATAAATATACTCAACTTTGTTATTAGATGTTTTTTATTCAAAGATGGTTTTCAAATATCGTCATATTGATGGTAATCTACCAAAACTTTTCCAAATTTCTGTATAAAACAACTTTAATCATGACATCAAAATGCATTTTTTTTTTTTTCAATTTTACAAATGTTATTATTTCATTTTTTCGATAATTTCTTCAACGACCCTTGGTTTTTCTGATACTGTAAATAGAAACAGTATCAGAAAAAACAAGAGCCGTTGGTAGGTTTTAATTTATTAAACCTTCAACGGCTGATAATCAATTATTATAATGCTTTAGAAGAGAAGTAAAAACACAAACTTTTTAATAAATTTAAAAAAATATAAACTTAATTTAATAATTAAAATTAGTTACTTAAATTTTTGTCTAGTACAGTATCAGTAGGATCGAAGCCTCAGCAATTACAATAAAAAAAACTATCCAATTAAATTTATTTTAAAATAAAACTTTTAGGAAAAATGATAAGCTAACAAAGATATTTAATTTTCAATAAATTTTATAAGAAAATTGTTTTTTTTTAAATCAAAGTTAAACAAATGTAATAAGCTTTCTCGTAATAAGCCTTTTCTTTTCAGCCAGTACTTACTGAATAAAAAAATTCTTGCATTAGAAACACTCTATTATATTTTGTGCCAAACCACCCCGTAAAAGCTTCTAGTGTGTTATTAAAGAAGTATGTGAGCGACAAACCCTGGCCACGCGATAATAAGGATGCTAAAATTTCCAGAATGATTTTATTCACGCCCTTTAGAATTAATTTGAAACAATTATTAGACTGGATTCATACTAGGGACTGGACTGGAAAATATTTTAATTGCACAGTGTCGTGGAAATTAAAAGATACGATATACGTATCTTTTAATTCCACGACACGAAGAAAAAAAGTGGTCTTTACTTTTTAAAAAATTAAATTTGACAACTGTCCCTATTAATGATATTCCAAAATAAGAATTGAAAGCTTCTCTAGTTGTGCCCTATAACCACTATGCTAACAATTGATAAAGCCGTGCAAATATTATTTGTTCTTATATATCCTTTGATACTTGATTTTTAAAACAGGCTAACTTTACTGCTGGATAAAACGTTTAAATGCTTTGTTTTTTAATTTATTTTTCTTCTTAATTACTCTTGCTTTATTATTACTAATAAGCTTAATTTGACTCAGTAACACGTCAACAATTACAATGTTTGTTTAATATGATGATATACGACTATTTGATCGTTAACTTCAGAATTATCTACACCAACATTTAAATACCATTTAAGATGTTATTTTTACAAATTAATATTTATTAATAACATATATTTCAACTTTGATCTTCTTATTTAACCATCAACATTTATTTAAAATAGTGAAATGTTTTTTTTTATTTATACTTAATAATGAATTTATTCAGAAAAAATATTGTTTAGATAATTAACAAAAACAAAATGAATAAAATAAAATAAAAAACTAAAGTACTAATTAGTTTATATTATCATTTCATTTTGGAGAAAATTTTATAAAATATTCAATACAAAATAATTATTGGCAAATTAAGGAAAAATTATTAAAATAAGTAATTCTTAATTAGAAAAAACTTTGATGTATTCCAATGAACCCCTCCCTAAAGAGGGGCGACAACAAGATGTAGATTTAAAACTCTAACACGTCTATTTTTTTTTTGTCTTCAACACTGATTTTAAATATTTTTCTTCTTTTTTATAAGCTTTTATAATATCAATAAAAATTTGTTAGATTCAATCTCAATAAATTATAGTTCAATCAACTACTATCAAAAATTTATCATATTAATTCTTTTTATTTATGTACTTAAATGTTGACTCAAGTTTCCGGTTCAGTCTTCTTAAATAATTACCCAAAATTTGTTTGTTTCATTTTTTTTTTTAATTTTTATATTTTGTATATTGTCATACCATAAAAAATAATTCAAATACCCTGAACACCCCAAAGGGGCGCCGGGTTAAGTGTAACCCACTATCAACTCTCTTTGTATTTACTAAATGTATATAAAAAAATAAATAGACTTTAAATTCAAACAGCCAATGTAATAACACAAGAGACGTTATTTGTTAAGCCTCGTTACTCTCACAGTCAGTATATGTGCGTAGAAAAAAAGTAAAGATAATAAAATCAATTATTTATTTATAGTTTTATTTTTTGTAATAATAATTGTCGAATTGAAAATGATAATGATCAAATATGTGGTAAAATGAAATACGTGATTTTATTTTCATGTAATCGCTCATAACGATTACATTTAAATCTCCCCGCTTGTATGTCAACTTACAACTTTTAATTGAAAGAGTATTCTTCACACAAGCAGGTGTGCAAACCGCTACATTTTATCAATTATTATTTTTAAAAATTATTTTTATACTGAGGTAAAAATTGATATTTTTTTTTGTATAAAAAAGAAAAAAATGAATATTTACAATTAAATTACGTTATTATCGCGTCAATTTTCGACTCGCGAGCGAACTCGCGAGTCAAAAAGGGGACTCTACCAATCTGTTAGAAAAAGCTTACAAATGGACTAGAAATTTTCAGTAAAAAATAACAAACTATAAATAGCAAATTTACAAATTACTAAACAGCTAAGTTTTCGAATACTGACAATTATCTTTTTTTTTCTTTTTTTATTTATTAATTAAGTTGCTGTTATTTATGAATTTCGTATTGCGGAATGTTTGTACCTCGTTACTGATAATTAAGCTCCGTTAGTTGCTAATTATTTATAATTGTATGACGCAGGTAATCTTAGACGTACAACAATTTTCGCCAGATGAAATAGTCGTCAAGACAGTTGACAATAATGTTATTGTAGAGGCAAAACACGAAGAAAAAAAAGACGAGCACGGCTATATCAGTAGGCACTTTATAAGAAGATATATTCTTCCCTCATGTCACGACCCCCTGGAAGTTACATCAAGTCTTTCTTCAGACGGAGTGCTTACAATTACTGCGCCGAAAAAGGTAACGGATGTTAAGCTTTTAACTATATTTTCTCACCTGCCTCTCAAACTCATAAGCCCAGCGAGCAGGGCTCGCTAACGAGCTCCTAACTATCCGGATCTTAAACTATAGCTTTTGTTGATGTGATTTTTCTTTTTACTTTTCAATCAATTTATAAATAAACAACTTAATCTGCTTCCATTAATTGGTATTCTTTATCACCGTATGTATATTCGGCGAAAATGTTGTTGACGCTACATCCCGAACGCAATGCAAGCACTAAATAATAAACAAAAGAACATTTCTATTATAGACAATAATTTTAAATTGACTTTCCGTTTTATTTTTTTTTAAATATTAAAAGAAAAAATTTTTGGGTAAATGTTTATCTTACCTATAACTTGCTTGGTTTATTCATTGAAAATGGCCAGATTTTGTTCAAACCTGACCCAGCACAGGAGTATTAGATGAATAGTTGAAGTTGCAGAGTACGGATTACTTCAGCACACCAAGCCCTTCGGGCACTCTGAAAAAAAAAATAATAATAATAATTTATTACCAGAAAATACAGATTTTTGAAAAAATACATAGTAAATAGTGTACAATACAAAATATCTGTCTTATAGAGATGATTTCCATCGGTACATAGGACTGGTATAGTAATTTATATCCATGAAGACAACATTATTAGCATACAAATTTGAACAATTGAAACTTACACTGATAGAGGAATTTTTTTATAGTTAAAAATATTTTTTAATATTTAACAAATCATTTATTAGAGACCACTTTTTAGTCCTTAATAAATATTTCTTAGTATTTAAAAAGATTTATTAATATTTAATAAATGAATATCAGATTTATTAAATACAAACAAATCATTTTAAATACTAAGAAATATTTGTTTAATACTAAAAAGTGGTCTCTAATAAATGATTTGTTAACTATTAACAAATATTTTTTGATACAAATAAATCATTCTATCAATTTATTCTGTAGTTTGTTTTAACAATTTAGTTATTTTCAACTTAATAGATTTTTTAGAACCGCCTAACATTTTTAAATTGTTTGGTAACCTATTGTAAAATTTCATAGCAACATATCTAGCAAATAATTAAATAATATTTATTCACAATTAAATCATTTAGTAAACTTTTAATTTATTGCAGCTATTGTCGCCGAATTCTAATGAAAGAATCGTCAATATTGTCAAAACTGGAGAACCGGCAACAAAAAATGAAGAAATCAGACATATTGTAACTACCGAAGAAAACTAATCAAATTTTACTTCAATTGCCGATTAATATACCTAAGGAATATTGTAATATTAGAATCTAAGAATGTATTTTTACTACTTTATACTAAAATCATCTTAATTAAAATTGTAATTAATTAATAAATAACATCGAAAGTTCAATATTACGTTTTAGAATATTTAATTTAAAAGCTATAACTACTGAAGCGGAACAATAATATTTTCGATCAGACAAGCTTGTATTTAAATTAATTAAATTGAATAAGTGATAAATAATAAATAATCACTTACGGGTTATTAGCGCGCTCCGCACGCACAATCGATGACTTTACATGATCCTTCAGTGTTGTTGTCACCAGTAAATAAATGTAAAATATCTCAAAAAGTTTTAAAAAATAACTCAAATTTTCGACTATACTCTTGATGTGAATGTAGCGATGTCTCGTTATTGAATGATCAGGAGCCGGCATACCGGCGCGCTTTTATAGACCGAGTTTGCCGTGGAATATTCTGGAACGCAGTGGAACGAGGCTACTAAACCGCCGCGTTACTACGCATTTACTTAAAACTAAAAAACTACAAAATTATTAGTTGCGAAATTTTAACTACGGTATCATCATAATTTTTAAATATTTATTTGGCTATAAATTTATGTAATAAACAATTCTGTTGTTTGTTTTTATAATAAATATTCGTGTCATTGGAGTATTGATCGAGCCGGTGAAAGACGAGATTTCTGGTACGTTCTAGACCCCACCATATATCCCAGGCCAGCAGCCTCCCAGCCGGCACGTAGGCCACCTTATTTCAAAGTATTAGTACTTCAACACATTTGCAGTTTTCAGGTCTAGACATACAATTTAATGATATATTATGTTGTTTACGGACCGAAAGAATAAAAGAAACCGGCAAACTATATACGCAGTTATGCAACGTATTTTTATTCGTCAAAATAGTAAACAAACTGTCTTATTTTTGTTTAATGACATTTTTTATCATTTTTAAAATAAATTTATTTATCTTTGCTAAAATGACACGATTAAATAAATAATGGAGCCATTCAAAATAAATTTATTGTCAATAATAATAAATTTTATAGTTTACCATTACTCATTTATATATTTATGACATATTATTAATAAACCTTGAATCCATAGCAACAACTTTAAGTAAAATTATACGAAAAAATGATTAAAATTTAAGATTATTCATTAATTTCTTATAAATCTTCATTCAAGATGTTATATTTTAATTTTAATGAGTAGATAATTTTTATCATTCAATTGTTAAAATAAAAAATTTATCAAGGTTTTGAGATTAATAGAAAACTTGATTTGTAAATAAAATATATATTAACGAAAAAAAACTGAAGAAAAAAAAAAACACTAAGTTGTGGACAGAACTTAAAAATGCAGCAATACTGAAAAAAATTTAATGTTTAATTTTTAGTTACTGTGTTGTGAAATGGAGTAGCAGTATTGTTATTATTTTTAAATTATTATTTATAATGCATTACCTATTGATTTTTTTATGAGTAAAGTGGAAAATAAAATAATTAATAAAGGACTGGGTATTAATAATATTTTTACTGAATAAATTCTTAAATAAATTGATTCTCAAAACTAAAGAATATTCCGTTTCCCACATAAATACAAATGAAAAAATTTTACAACTGCGTCAAATGGTTTCCAGAGTTTTATTTTGAAGTCTCGAATGTTCTATGGCCCGGTGCAACCAGGTTAAATCGATAAAGGGAATTGCGTCTCAGTTTGGAAGGATGGAGCATAGAAATATACAAACCAAAACCCGTTAAAAAATTTTTGTTATTATTTGCAATTTTTATGACTTTTAGATGAAGGTAACATAAAATAACATAGAACTTGATATTTTAATGTATTTTAAAACAGATATAATTATGAATACGATTACTTTTCGTTTTTATTTTTACATTTTTTTAATACAAAACTACTATATTTAATCAAACCGGTCTTATTTCACATATTGTCATTTGTTATTTTTTTTTGCTACTTGCCATTTGGCCTTGACATGAAATGAGGTAAATCTATCTATCTATCTATCTACGATTAAGGAGTAAGTATTTGTGAACGAAAGAATCATATGATGATTCGTGTATTATTAAGATTTATTTACGTATGGGGGTCGTACATTTCATAATTATATGTACGCTTGAATCTGCCTATAATATAAAATTTTATCTAACAATTGTGATTATCAATATTTATAGCTTGAGTAAAAAACATAAATATTTCTACAGCTTCATTTTAGATTTCATGTTTGTATAGAACATAGGAGAACTCACCTTTATTTTTTTTTCTAATTATTTGTGATTACAAATAAATTTATGAAAATATTTTAAAATTTTATCAAATGAGTAAATTTTTTTTCTATCTAAATACATTATCTAATTAAAAATTAACTAAAACAAGAAATATATACTCATAGCTGAAAATTTATTTATTTCATATTAACATTTTATTTGTTTTTTAGTTTTGAATGTTATGGAATATGATTACATTTTTGACAACAAGTATTATCCAAGGTAATACATGTGTTTGTCTTTCTGAGTTCAAGGTCAAGATTATACTACCAGTTTAATGTAGTTCAGCTTGGATGTAGTTCTCTCTCTTTCATTTTGTTCCTCTCTGTCTTTCTATAAATATATATATGCGTGTATGTATGAATAAATAATACCGATGTGCAGTAAAACATATTTATACTTCAGTATCTATTTTAGGTAATTTTTTGATATTAGCAACTATCTATTGTAGTTAAAGTGAGTGTCAAGGAGGTCTTTAGCTTTCTCAGAGGAGGTTTAAAATGTTTTTTCAAGATGAATTCAAATCAACTTCAAGAACTATAATTGTTGATGATACTCTAAAAATAAAAATATAGAACTAAGTTACCCAGTTTTGAGTTAAATATAACTAATTTAATATCAATCCCTAGCCGATTTGCTGGACACATAAAATTTAATTTTAAAATTTAGACTTGAAAAGTAAATAACTGCTGCAACAGAATGTAGAATCCTGTGGGAGAAAAAGGATAATACCCTTTTGCAACACCAGGAGTTTTATGTTTATTATTTTCGTTTATATATGAGGCATTCTACACCAAACCTGTCAAATGTGTTATTTTAATGCACATCATTTCATTTTGCACGCTCAGACGCGTTAATAAGTATTTGAACGTTTTTGACATCTTAAAAACACACTTATTTACACACCAGGATTTGCAATGATATTCTCTTCAAAACTGTACTCTTATTATTTCGAGATTTTCAGTTCTCTCGGTTTAAGAAATTGACTTTTGGATCAAAAATATAAAACTCATAAATTAAAAATTTGATTGCATTGATTGAAGATTATATACTTTTGATTGAAGTTGTAGAATTTTTTAAGCTTAAAAAACGAGTTTCAAAACAAGATATTCTTGAATCAAAACAATCTCTTCTCTTCAAAATATGTTTCGTGGATTGAGAATATTTCTGTTGAATAAAGAAGTATTTTTTTTATTTTTTAGTGCAGAGATTTCTTGATGAGAGAGTGAATTGCTCAAAATTTGTCATATATTTATATAAATTTTTTCTTAAAAAGTAATATTATTTCTACAGGTGATGTAAAAATACTTAAAGCAATTAGTAAATAAAAGTATAGAAATATATACACACCAAAAAAACATTTATTGATAGTAAAAAAAATATTAGTGAAAATAGAATTAAAAAAAAAATCTTATATTGCAAATGATGGCAGTAGAATTCTAAATTCCGCTAAAATTCATTCAAGCTCACAAAAAATTTTATGTATAAGTACTGAATAGATTTCTACAATTTTATAAGTCTCTATAAATGGCAGCTACTGTTAATTTTTATTGTTTTATGGTTTTATGTTTCTTTAACATCTTCTTTTTGATCACTCTGAACTTCAACTAGCTCGATATGATTTGTATATCTCTTCTTTTTGGGCTCATTGAAGAAGATTTGATAAACGTATGTACCTAACAGTGCACCAAGAGTTGGACCAACCCAATACACCTGTTCAGAAACAATGTCAAAAAATTACGAAAAATAATCTTTCAATCATATTGATCAAAAATAGTCCCCAATGTTTTTAAACAATGTGATTTGTATTTTTATTTACAATTACATTTAATTGTAACAACTTACCCATTGATTGTCCCATGTTCCATTCCAAAATGCTGGACCGAACGTTCGGGCTGGATTCATACTGCACCCAGTATAAGGACTCTAATAATTTATAATTTATAAACTGTCAATTCATTATTCTGATGGTATTGCTAGGGTTTGAAGTGTGGATTTTGAATTGTTATATGATATAACTTACAGCAGCAAATGAAATACCAGCAACAGAGAAACCGAATCGAAGAGCGGTAGAATCAGTTGTATGTGCACATCTTTCATCCCAAGTAGCACAAGCCGTGCATAAAATAATCCCAGTACAAAAAGTTTCAATCAAAATTGCTTGAATAATTGTCAGGTCTTTATGAACAACTGTAACGCATAGTGGAACGGTTGAATTGTCGATACCATCATTAAATAAATGTGTCGGTGTTATTACCTGAGCAGATAATGAATAATTAAACGTAAGAGTTAGATTATTTTAAAAGTGAAACGTTAAAGGTTTTGGTTTACTGATTCGATTTTAGCTCATATGGATGGGGGACAAGAAAAAATATTTCTTTCGTTTTATAAAAAAATTCAAAAAGCAAAAAATTGACGTTAAAAATTACTTTCGAAATTTAGAAGACAAAAATTTTTTTTCTCATGTAGACATGTCGTGAGACATCTCCATAGCAGCCAGAAAAAATTATAAAAATTTTATGAAAGTCAAATACGAACTTTTCAATCTAAAATATCTCGGGAAATACCTAAACATAGCTCCTGTTAAAAGCGGAACTCAAAATTCCAATTTTAAAAGGTTCTTTACGGAAATTGAATTTTGAAATACCCTAATATGATTGTTACTTATAATTAAAATATGAATTCCTGGCTACTGTATTGCTATTATATGTGACGATAAAATAACGTGTATGAAGTAGTGACGAGATTGTCAGAACTATAATGTATAGACATTGATTTTATAATCTCTATTGACACTCATAACTTTTTATGGTACCAAATTTAGACACCACATGAAAAGTAACACAAGGAATAATGTAATTATGAAGGTTGAAGGTTGTGGAGAGGTGCAAAATGAGACATCTGAAAAAGTAGCGGAGAATTTTCATTATCTAAAATAATTTCCAGTGACGAAAAAAAGTTTAATTTCATCTAGCGATTCTCAAAATTTTCAATTTTTTTTCTAAATTTTTCGATTGCTGTTGAAAGTAACTTTTTGATTTTTCCAAAAATTGAAAAAAAATTATTTAGCTATGAAAAAATAGTTTATACTTTTAATAAACCATATCCCGCGGTGGCACCGATGAATTGTGCTAGAATATAAACAGCACTGGTTGGAATAGTTTTCAATCCTACAATGGCAGCACCAATTGTTACAGCAGGATTTAAATGGGCTCCGCTGATATGTCCGATCATCTATTTTTTATTAACAGCCAATTGTTTTAAGTGCCAATTAAAAAAGAAAATTTTCAAATTTATATACAAACCATAATGAGCAAATTAACAGTGAAACCAAATGTAAATGCCATTTGCATTGGCGGAGGTGGATGAGGGCCCATTGTGCCGATGCACCCCATGCATCCGATGAAAATTAAAATTCCTGTTCCAACCACTTCTGCAATAAACATAGTCAGTGTTCCTTCTTGAAGTTTCCATTTTAGATCTGCATCAGAATGTATATTTTATCACAATTAATAATGAATAACAATAAGTTTTATTGAAATTATTGAAAAAAAATCAATTATCCAGCAAGATTTATTTATTTATTAACTAACTCACTTTCTTCATTATTACTAGAACTCATTATTACAAAATTAATAAGTACAAATTTTAAGTTCAACCGATTCAATCACAGTTATTGGCACGACTATATGATTCAATTATAATGACAATCAGAGATAAGTGATTAAAAAAATCACATTATCAATGTGATGGTCACTTCATAAATATAGTTTTTATTTTAAATCACGACATAAACTCGAGTAAATTGATATTTTATCATCGTTCCTGAATATTTTTTCAAGTTAATGTTATCTTTTATAGAATTGTTTCCATAAAAAAAAAAAAATTATAAAAAAATTTATAATTGATAACAATATTTTATCATCAGTTTTATCTATTTGAATAAATATTGCCAAAATTTACATAAATGATCAAGATAAAATGATTTTAATTTCGTTACCTTCACTATAAATAATGACTGATGCTCTTTCAGTTTTACCTTTTTCAAAAATAAAACTCGATTTAAACGGTCTCTTTGATTATATCGTATAAAAATAAACATAATTTGTCTTTTGTATTTCATGGAAAATTGAATAAATTTGATGACCCCTATAAATTATTAGTCATTACCAAATTGAAATGTACAATCCTATAATTCAAACTAAATTATACTTGAATAATAAATTATGTTAAGTTCAAATGTACATGCGTACTTTGAATCGACTTATTTTTCTCTACCAAGCTTGACAGCCTATTTGCAGTCAAGCTCCTGTTTTCTTGAAGAGTATAAATGGAATCTATTTCGATTTCGATGGAAAATAAAAATAATAGCAACTCGCAAAGTAAAACTTTCAAATATCAGAATTTGAATTATAAATCTGATTCAAATTACGCAGTAAAAGTAGCTCGAACTCTTTTAACCCCACTTGGTATATATCCATTACACGGATCAGATACGAGTTTAAGTAAATTTCTTGTGAAAATTCAAATAATCATAGTTTTTGGCTTAATGTTGTTTCTGCTAGTACCGCACTTTATTTGGACGTTTTTCGATGCTGAAGATCTTAAAAAATTGATGAAGATAATAGCCGCTCAAATATTCAATTCATTAGCTTTGATTAAATTTTGGACCATGATCATCCATAAAAAAGAACTGAGAAATTGCTTGATTCAGATGGACAATAACTGGAAAAATGTATTGTGTGAAGAAGACAGATTAATCATGGTTAAAAATGCTAAAATCGGTAGATTCTTTACAATAGCTTATTTAAGTTTGTCATATGGAGGTGCTTTGCCGTATCATATTTTCTTACCATTGTCAGCTGAAAGAATCGTTAAAGAAGATAACAGCACTCAAATACCATTACCATATCCTACTGACTACGTATTTTTTGTTCCTGAAGATTCTCCTGGTTATGAAATGCTATTCGTAACGCACATTATTATCAGTACGATGATTTTATCAACAAATTGTGGTATATATAGTCTTATAGCTACTTACATCACGCATGGATGCTGTCTCTTTGAAGTAGTTTGCCGACATTTAGATGAGTTTTCAAAAAATAGTACAAATGTTGCTTTGAAGAAAGAGCTTTCTTGGATTGTTGAGAATCATAATCGAGCTATTGAGTAAGTATTTTTAAAATAATAATTTATTTTTAATTTATAAGGGACAATTTTTTAATGCAAGAAGAAATTTCTTCTAGATTTGCAGCAGTACTTGAAAGTTCGCTTAATGTTGTGTTTCTCTGTGAAATGGTTGGATGTACGGTTATAATTTGTTTTTTGGAGTATGGTGTTATTATAGTATGTACAAAATTAATAAAAAAAGAAAAAAAACTATTTTAAGCTCGGAACTATAATTGTCATTGGTAAATAAAATTTAAAAATCATTTCAGGATTGGGAAGATGGTCAATTATTAGGTTTGGTAACATATGCTATATTAATGACATCTATTTTCGTTAATTGTTTTATTATTTCTTTTGTTGGGGAGCGTTTAAAAGAACAAGTATTTATGAAAATTTTAAATAACAATTGCATCTAAAAATTTCAGCTATTTATATTATTTTGGTATTTAAAGAGCCTAAGAGTTGGTGAGCGAGCCTACGCAGCACACTGGTATTCCTTACCGAAAAGTTTTGCGTATGATTTAATGCTCATAGTGATAAGAACAAGTCAACCAGTGACCTTGTCTACCGGTAAAGTCAGTGACTTATCACTTGCAGGATTCGCTGGTGTAAGATTTTTTCTTTTATTTTATATTAATTACAATTACTTACTAACATAATCAACAGCAACCTAATAAAATTTTAAATAACAGCTTGTCAAAACGTCGGCAGCATACCTGAATTTCATCAGAGCTGTTGTCTAAAGACTCGATAGTTTTTCAGCCAAATAGTCACAAATATTAAAAAGATTTCATTATCTTTTAGTAATAGATAAATAAAAATGAATCTGCGTTTCATATTTATGATACATATTATTATATAATAAAAACTGTTCTCTAACTTAAAAATATTAAGAGTCATCATATCTTTTACAAAATGTATTTTTTATTAATTTTTAATTTTTTAAATTATATGACGGAAAATACAATTTTCGATAAATATCTGTTATGTGCATCAATACTTATAAGCCAGTCAGTTGCTCTATTTAATTTTTTCTTCTTAACTCTCATTATTTCGAATAAAATCATTCTTCACGAAAATAATTGGTAATTAATAAAAGTGCACTTGGTCGTCAAATTATTTTCCAACAATTTTTTTATCCCGTCAAAATGTTTAATATGCTTAGGCGTATTTTTTTTATTATTTAATGACTAATTCTTATTGATAGTAAAATCTCTGATAAATACTATTATTTTTAATATTTTACTTTCGATACTACAACATACAACTCACCCGGTGATTCACCTCTGATCTCATATAAAGAAATTACCATAATTGTGCTTGAATTATGTAATTTTGTAATTTAATCAACTTTTTTATTCATATACATACGATGTTCAATTTAAGTAGAGCCTATTATAAACTTATAATGTTTGTAAGTTGATATTTTCATTCAATTAAATTAATAAGTTAATAATTTGTGTACGCAAGCGTATTGCAGTATATTTTCAGTATTTGAAACCCCTTAACTGTTCAAGTATTATATTTTCATATTTCTAAAAGTAGAGACCAAACATTGAATATGAAGCAAAAAGCATTAGCGAACTCAAAAGCTTTTGAGCAAAATAATAATTCTGTGAAAGAAGACATAGAATATGCAATTCAAGTAAATCGATGGCTTCTTTCTCCCCTTGGTATTTGGCCATTGTCATCAAAATCAAATTTACTCAAAAAAATAATTCAATACTTAATAATAATTATATGTTCATTGCTATTAATATTTATTATTGTTCCTGGAAGTCTTTTTACTTATGTGAAAATAAAAAATCCTGCGATAAGAATAAAACTAACTGGAGCATTAAGTTTTTGTGTTATGGCAATAATAAAATATTATTCACTAGTGTCGGGGCGTAAAAATATTTCGAATTGCATTCAGCACTTGATTTCAGACTGGGTGCAAGTAAATTCATTAAGTAATCGTGAAATTATGCTCAATTATGCTCAGCTAGGACGTTTTGGTTCGATAATTTGTGCTATTTTCATGTACGGTGGAGGTTTATTTTATGCAGGTATTCTTCCGCATGTATCTCCAAGTGTTAAAAATGAAAACAATGTCACTATTAAGCCAATTGCATACCCAAGTTATTTTTTAATTTTTGATCCACAACAAAGTCCAGCTTATGAAATAGTTTATTCTTTGCACTGCTGCTGTGCATTTGTAATGCATTCGGTTACAAGTGCAGCGTGCAGCCTTGCGGTGGTTTTTGTGATGCACGCATGTGGACAGTTAGATATTCTTATTGCTTGGTTAAATAATCTGGTGGATGGTAATGAAAACCCCCTTGGAATCAATGGAAGATTTTCAGAAATAATTGAGCAACATACAAAAACTCTTAGGTATTTATGAATTATTACTCTTTGAAATTAAGACTTACCTTCAAGAATAATGTAACATGAAATTTTGGGTTCGAACAGATTTATTGCTAGTACTGAAAATGTTTTGTGTGAAATTTGTCTCGTTGAAGTTATTGGGTGTACTTTAAACATTTGTTTTTTAGGATATTATTTGATGTTAGTGAGTAAATTTTAATTATTAATAACGACGTGGATACTTATTACTATAGTTATAACTAAAATTTTTTGATAAAGGAATGGGAACAAAGTGACGCAATTGGAATAATGACTTATACGATACTTTTAATATCCTTTATTTTTAACATATTTCTTTTCTGCTACATTGGCGAACTTCTCAAGGCTAAAGTATAATTTTATTTATTTAGCTTTTTTAGGGTTGATTAATAATGATTATTTTAAACTGGTAATTGTGTAATAAAAAGTTTTCAAATTTAACGTAGTGCAGCGAAGTTGGAGAAACAACTTTTATGATTGATTGGTATCGTTTGCCTGAAAGAAAAGCACTTGGATTGACTTTAACAATCGCAACGGCACAAAATCCAATCACAATAACTGCAGGAAAGATTTTTGATCTTTCGTTAAATGGTTTTTGCACGGTGGGTATACTTTTTAACTTATTTCCAACTTCCAAATGCTATTACTAAAATAATTTATATTTTTAAGGTGATTCGAACGTCTGTTACATATTTGAATCTTCTTCGTACATTCATGCTGGAGTGAAATAAAAGTTTTATTCCAATGACATCAATTTATTTTTATTAATGTTAAAATATCGTTATTTTTTGTGTTTTTATTGAATTGTATGTGATGAATGGAATATAAATCGCAAAATCATTTTGATGAAAAAGTAAAATCTTTAAAATGAAAGCTTGTTAAAATTTTATTGATAATTGGTTGTTAAAATTTATCATTAATATTTGGATCATAATTCATTAAATCTCCAATTTTTTAATTCACTATCACAAAAATTGGAGAAAAATTTTATTTATCGAAGAGTAGCTTTTATAACAATAAAATGATTCATTAAATTCCACTTTTTTATTTGAAAAAAAAAAAAAGAATAAATTTTTGAAAAATTATTTTTAGCACTTGATAGAAAATGATAAAAACGCCCTTGCGATATAACAAGTACATATAAAAATAAGTTCATAAAACTTGATAAAAAAAAAGTTATAATTCGTACTTTTTAAAAATAATTACTAGCAATAAGTTTTTCTTTCTGCCTATTGATATGGGATGATTGGGAGAAAAAAAATAACTGTTAATTGATTTCTTTGTTATAACTTTCCGAAAGTAATTTTATTTAATGGCCATTAAATGACTATTAATGGCTATTAAAACTATTAGTAATTTTAAAATAAAACTTAAAATTCACTGCGCAAGCGTAAGTATTATTCTTCAATGTTATCGAAAGAAGAAGAGTCAGTTGAATGATAATCTTCCAGCAAAGAAAAATTTGCTAAAAAATATTGTTGATGGAGAGAATGTGAAATATAAAATGAAAAATTCAACAATGATTAATGAGAACTATGCATTGCAAATCAATCGATGGTGTCTTGAATCACTGGGAATATGGCAATTTGTAATGAAATCGTCTTACTTTGCAAAAATAACGGCTGTTTTTTTGATTATTATTTGTACATTTTTATTAGGATTTATCATAATTCCGGGTATACTATTCGCATTTGTTCTAATTAAAGATCCTGCGATAAGACTTCAGGTTTCTGGAGTTTTAAGTTTTTGTGTTATGGGAATTATGAAGTATTATTATTTAAATTTAAAAAAAGGGCAAATCAGTGACTGTATAAATCATTTAATTTCTGATTGGAAGAAGATTAGTAATTATGATGACAAAATGATAATGATAAGCTATGCCAAATTTGGCCGTTATAGTTCTATATTGAGTGCCATATTTATGTACGCAAGTAGCGTATTTTACGCTGGAATATTACCTTTTATGTCACCAGGGATGAAAAATGAGGATAACATTACAATGAGAAATTTAGCTTATCCTTGTCACTTTATAATTTTTGATGAACATGAAAGCCCAGCTTATGAAATTGTTTTCTTTATTCAGTGCTGCTGTTCTTTTGTGATGGCATCAATAACGAATGGTGCCTGCAACTTAGCTACAGTATTTATAATGCATGCTTGTGGCCAGTTAGAGATTTTAACTTCATGGTTAAATAATACCAGAAATAATGATAGAAAAAGTAAAGATATGTACTCAAAATATTCTGCCGTTATTGAACAGCATGCGACAACTTTGAGGTAAGGTTTTAAACTTATTTTTTATACGGATAATATGAAAAATATAGCGTGTAGCAAAAAATTTTAAGTAAATACTGAAAATAATAAAGCCAAATAAAACGAAACCTAATAATATTTTGTATATTTCTATGTAGATTCATTAATAAAGTTGAAAAATTATTTCAACAAATTTGTTTTGTTGAGGTTGTTGGGTGTACTTTAAATATTTGTTTGTTAGGATATTATACGCTAATTGTAAGTATTTTTTCAATGTATCACAACTGTCATTAATTTTAATTTTATTATGAATTAAATTTGGTTTTATTTCATAAAAATAATACTTTTCAAGGGGTGGAGTCAAAACGATACAGGTGGGGTAGTAACATATCTTCTGCTATTAACATCGTTTGTTTATAACATTTTTTTATATTGTTATATGGGTGAAATGCTTACGCAAAAGGTTAATTTTAATAAAATTTTACCACACTGCATAACTTTTTTTCCAATATAATTAATTAATATGCAAAAAATAGTTATTCTTTTTTTTGCGCAAATAAAAAAATTTTTGATAAAAAAAAACATCTTTTTAGTGCCAGGGTGTAAGTAATGTGGTATATTTGACTGATTGGTATGATTTACCTGTAAAGCTAGCTCGAGGATTCATTTTATCAATTGTCATAGCTCAAAATTATGAGCCTTTGAAAGCTGGAAAATTGATATTCCTGTCTATAAACACTTTTGGTACGGTGAGTATAGAAGAAACAATGAATAAAATTTTTTACATTTTACTTTTATTATTATTACATGTTTTTATTTAAAACTAAATTATGTTGCAGGTAATTCGCACGTCAGTGGCCTATCTTAATATTTTACGAACATTTATGGCATAAACAAATCTGATAATCTAATGAATAATGAATAATATTTTTCCTCAGTCTCATTAGAAAATAATTTTATAGAAAATGAGTAACAAATGTTCACTGACATGATGAATAAAAATTAAAATATATTTTATGAAGAAGGACTTTAAGTTTTGATCGATGAAAACTTTTAACAAAATTATGCCCAAATTTTATCCTTAATATTTTGTCAATAGTTGAAATCCCAAAACCTCAGTTGTGAAAAAAATTTTTTTTTCAAAACTTCTTCTATTCAACAAACTTATTTTTTTTAAAACATTTAATATAAAACAATAATCTATCAACGTCTTTCGAGTTCCAAACTTTAATCACGAAAAGCAGCACGACAGAATTTATTCACTTTATTCACTTTATAATAAAAATTCGTCCTCACAGGTTTCATTACACAATGAATGTTCTTTTATTAGATATTAAAGAAACTATAAAAATAACTTATAAATCAATGAAGACTAACAGTTTTTGTGGATTATTCTTGGTAAAACTTTTAATGTTTTTGCGACAACTTTTTACCCACTTCATTTCAAATATTAATAGAATTAATTTATCGAGAACGCATGCGCTGTAACAGCAACTTTTCGTAATTAAACATAATATTATTATATTAGTCTGCTGTATATTTTCAAGTAATAACAATCATGAGGAATGAAATAGAAATTCTCGGTCCCATTCCTGACTTAACAGAACAATCTAAAAGTGATATAAAATATAGTATAGAACTTATCCGTTGGTTTTTAACACCTATTGGAATTTGGCCAACAAGTTCGAGTACTTGCGAAAAAATTCTGTCTGAAATTTTAGTGATCGTTAGTTTTTGTTTAATATGTTTCCTCTTAATACCATGTAGTCTACATACATTCCTCAACGAAAAAGATCCACGGATGAAAATGAAAATGATTGGCCCTTTAAGTTTCTGCCTTATGGCCATCAGTAAATATTGTTTTTTAGTTATGAGAAAAGAAAAAATTCGTGAATGCTTGAAACATATTCAAACCGACTGGCGCCGAGTTCAATTATCGACTGAACGAGATGTAATGCTCACAAATGCTAAAGAAGGTCGTTTCATTGCTAATCTGTCAGCAACATTTATGTACGGAGGAGGATTCTTTTATCACACGATAATGCCGCTGACAGCTGGTTCTTTTGTGACCCCTGACAACATAACTATTCGCCCGTTGACGTACCAAGTTTACGATCCTCTCTTTGCAGCTCAAAAAACTCCGTCTTATGAAATTGTCTTTACCATTCAGTGGTTTTCAGGTTTTGTACTATATAGCATAACAATTGGAACATGCAGTTTAGCTGCAGTCTTTGTTCTCCATGCATGCGGACAACTTAAAATTGTCATGTCACGACTGGAAAATTTGATTGACGGGACAAATGAAAAAATGACTGACATTTTGGAAAGTCGAATAGCTCAAATTGTACAACTTCATCTTCGGGCATTCAAGTAATTGCATGATACTCTACTATACACGAAAAAAAATTAAGTTTATTCAAGAGAAAAATTTTTGAACCAAAAAAATTATTTTTGAGAGCTTCATTGTCTCTAATTAAGACCAAAAATTCTTGAATCAAAGAAAATTTCTCAGATCAAGATTTTTTTCACTTAAATCAAGACGATAAATCTCTTCAAAATGATTTTCTTGGTTCAAAAATTGCTCTCTTGAATCAAGTTAATTTTTTTCATGACATTGTCCTATATGGCCGGTTTTGGTTATCTATGGCCATATCAATCTATAAACGAGAATAAACAAATAATTATGCCTTATTTGAGCAATCAGGCCACTTAAAAAAATTAGTTCACGTGAGCTGATTTATAATTAAATTCATGAAGTTTTAATTTGATATCTTTAAATCTATAAATACCATTAATTTAAAATTAAATAAAAAAAAGAGACAATTTTGGCTGTTAAAATTCAATGACAAAGCGAAAAATTCAAAGCAAAAGCATTTTATAAAGATGGTATAAATAATTTTAGTTATAAGTAGATAAAAAAATTTAGCATCTGTAAAAGTCATAAGATAAAGACGAATTGAGTAATACATTTAATAGAATAAAAAAATCTCTTATTTATAAACATTAATATTAATAATTTTTAGTTTTATAGTTCGCACTGAAAAAATTTTAAATGAAGTATGCCTTATCGAATTTATTGGCTGTACGATGAATATATGTTTTCTTGGTTACTACTTTATGACAGTAAGTATATTGTTGTTAAAACAAAAATATAATATGACTAGATCTTACAGTTTTGATTTTTAGGAATTCGAAAGAGCGGAAACAATAGCTACCGTCACGTATTGTGTTCTTCTGGTGTCGTTTACGTTTAATATTTTCATTCTTTGTTATATTGGTGAAATGCTAACCCAACAAGTAATTGGTTTCTTTATGATTAATTTATAATTTAGTTCGATTATTATGATATATTTATCATAATAAGTAACAAAAAAATTTTAATAGCAACTAAAACCAACAGTACTACCTTCATAACACATTAATGAATATGATGAAATTTTTATAACTTTTAAGGGTCTTAAAGTTGGATTAACAGCTTATATGATCAATTGGTATGAATTATCAGGAAGGAAAGCAAGAGATTTAATATTACTTTTGGCAATAGCTAACTATCCTAATAGTATAACGGCTGGAAGAATGGCTGAGTTATCTTATAATAGTTTTTGTGGGGTAAATATGAAATTCATTTACTTGATTCGTCGGTAAAATACTTCTATGTAGTATTAAGTATATCTATATTTTTAATTTTTTTTTCTTTCAGATTCTTAAAAGTGCAGCTGCATATTTAAATTTGTTACGAACTGTTGTGATGTAATCATTTTGACACTAATTTGAAATGAATATGATTAAAATCACTTATTATCGAATTATTGACTTACGTTTAAACTCCGTCAAAACTTTTAAAATATGAGCTCTTATCAATATTTAGATGCAGCGATTCAAAAATTTCTATTTTCCCTTTCGGGCGTAAAGCGAAAACTTTAGTCCCGCTGCGCTAAACGAAGTTACCGTTTTCCGTCTCCCTCGAGAAAAAAAAATAGTATACACACCATGGGCAGTAAATAAGAAAGCCTCAGATCACATGTTTGTTGGCCGAGGTGAATCCGACTTTTCTGCTCTACGTGTGTAATATATTATTCCCCGAATCATGCAAAACATTATAGAAATAATAAATATTTATTGCGTCTAGTTAATGTAAAGCAATTTGTCGTCAAGTTACAAAATTCCAAATTGAAAAAAAAATTTTTTCTGTGCTATTTGAACAGGAAATAAAATTTGAGAATCACCAGCTCTCGAGATTAATGATAAGCTTATACATTCACAGGGTTCTCATCTAGAAATACTCTCATGGTTTTTTGGTGTTCTTTGAAAAAAAAAATTGAATCGATATTTATGGAATACTTTATTATATATTATAAAAAATGCCCCTTCCTAATTTTATTATCATACACTGATAGAAGGATTTCTTAATATTTAAGAAGATTTCTTTGTATGTAAGAAATCATTTCTTAAACATCATTTCTTAGTATTTAAAAAATATTTCTTTGGTATTTAAGAAATATTTCTTAAATACAAAGAAATATATATATTTCTTAAATACTAAAAAATATTTCTTAAATACAAAGAAATATATATATTTCTTAAATACTAAAAAATATTTCTTAAATACAAAGAAATATATATATTTCTTAAATACTAAAAAATATTTCTTAAATACAAAGAAATATATATATTTCTTAAATACTAAAAAATATTTCTTAAATACAAAGAAATATATATATTTCTTAAATACTAAAAAATATTTCTTAAATACAAAGAAATATATATATTTCTTAAATACTAAAAAATATTTCTTAAATACAAAGAAATATATATATTTCTTAAATACTAAAAAATATTTCTTAAATACAAAGAAATATATATATTTCTTAAATACTAAAAAATATTTCTTAAATACAAAGAAATATATATATTTCTTAAATACTAAAAAATATTTCTTAAATACAAAGAAATATATATATTTCTTAAATACTAAAAAATATTTCTTAAATACAAAGAAATATATATATTTCTTAAATACTAAAAAATATTTCTTAAATACAAAGAAATATATATATTTCTTAAATACTAAAAAATATTTCTTAAATACAAAGAAATATATATATTTCTTAAATACTAAAAAATATTTCTTAAATACAAAGAAATATATATATTTCTTAAATACTAAAAAATATTTCTTAAATACAAAGAAATATATATATTTCTTAAATACTAAAAAATATTTCTTAAA